GCCGAGAACGAGTGGTGGTGGGCGCGCAACGCAGCCGGCGAGGAGGGCTACGTGCCACGAAATCTGCTTGGGGTAAGCAATTCGTAATACCCTTCACCGGTGAATCGAGCTAATAAGGACTTCTTCCGCAGCTGTACCCACGCGTGCCGCCGCAGTCGCCGCATTTCAGCGATTAGCAGTTAATACGCTTTACCATACTCAAGCGCAAGGCTGGCCGACTTGTGCAGAAGCGCTATATATCCAAGTACATCTGAGCAGCAGATTCCGAGCACGTGCCGCCGCGCGTCCCCTGCGCCTAATCCCGCGCTGCCAAACTGGATGGATGGATGCGGAGGGGGAGGCGCGTCTTAGTTATGAGCTGGCATTATTTATGACAGCCTCGTGTTATTTCTTTCCTGTTTACTTTTTTGTTTGTTTGAAAAGCCACAAGAAGGAAGCCAGACGCAATCACACACACACACACAAACACACACAAGTCATGTGTGTGTGTTGCAAGTGTGCAAACGTGTGTCCATCATCGGAATGTGCAGCATTTGCCACAGCGCCTGCGGCAACAGCTATTTATTATAAAAGAGGAGCAGCCAGGACGGGCCACAATTAGGCAACAGCCTGGTCCTGGTCGTGGAACTGGTCCTGCTTTTGGTCGTCCTGCACACGTACAATAAATTGAATTTCAGTTAAGCCTGCCCCCTGCTTAGATTAAGGCCTAGACTAATAACTTAAGTAAAACATGTGCACCACACAATCCGCCTGCCACATATAAGCCCCCAGCCGCCCAACAACTCGCCACAAATTGCTTTCAACTTTCTGTGAATAAAACTAAAATTTGAAATTCAAATTTAAGTTGCAAATTGAAAATGAAAATAGAAAATTTCAATAGACTTTGTGCACTTTGTGGTTGGAAAACGAGTTTGTTAATTGCCAGTAACGAGTTTTATTGCTAAATATTCGAGAAGCAAAACTCAAAACGAAAAACATGCATTCATTAATTTACACACATTTTAGACATGACAAGAACAACAACAAGAAATCGTGATTTTTTTGTTGTAAAAAGCGAAAGTGCAAAAAGCTAAACAAAACATAATTTAAATATCGTTAATATCGTCTATTGTACAGTACTTACTACCTATGACTAAAACAAAAGCAGCTTCGTTATCAAATTACAATTCCTAATAAATACATTAATAATTAGTTTATATATATATATATATATTAATATACATATGTATCTATATGTAATTGCCTGATGCCTACCACCTATTCCTAGCATTCACAAAAATACAAAAAATACAAAAACAAACACACAACAAATTACATTTTAAATGCAATAATAATAAATAGAGTGTCCTTAGTTGAATAGGCCTCACTTTTTATCTTTCTGGCATGTTTTGAATTTCAGAAATGTTGACAAACCTTAGAGAACGCCAATCCTTGCAAGCCTATTGAAAATTTTTTTAAATTTTAAATTCATCTAATTTAAAGCCAATTAAAGTTTTTAACAAATATTTATTTTCAAATATTTCGATTAAAATACGGCCTGATTTTTGATAAGACGTTCGTAAAATTTGGACACAATTTAGTGGGTCAAAAATGACCAATCCACTCATCTTTATGATTCCAGAACCCCCAATTTTACTAAGCATTACTCTTCCTAACAAAAATTACAAAATTTCAAAACCTAAGATTTTTAGATGACTTATAAGCGTTTTGGCATTCCAAAACTTAGGCATATTCCCGGTGAACTTTAATTCGGCGAACACAATCAGGATGGTGCTTGTCCCCTTCCTATATGACTCCAATATTTCTGCTTATACAACAGATGTAGCGCAGGTAAATTTTAAGTTTCAAATCTCTGCGAAATTTCCACAGAAATAAGAGGAATCCAGCTCTCCTTTTAAATGAGCTACATCAACTGTTAACAGCCGCCTGTACAGCCGATGCTAGATTCATGTTAGTCAACAGCAACCTAACAGTTTGCCCCTTCGCATATGCAATGAAATTTATCATTAGCTGTTTTTTCTTCCACCTGCTGACCATTTCTGTTCGCATGGTACTTCAGCAGAACTTTTGTTCAGAGCTCGACAGCCAGACGCCGATTTTTAGCTATTTTGTACGCTTGGTATTTCAGTTGAATTTTTTTTTCTTGACGGTAAATAAATCTAAAATATTTGTTATTTTAGATATGGTAACCAAAACCATCATTAGAGGCAAAACGAGTCTAAATTTATATTATTTTTAAAAATGGAACGTATTTAACCAGATATTTAAAATATATATCTCTGGTTCATTACATCGGATCCTAGAATACGCATGCATACCGAAAGAGTTTCGTTTTGTAACGCTACGAGTGTTTAAATAATCTGCAAGGATATGCCCGAATAAGAGCTATTTTTTCATTAATTATCATTTATTTACTTGCAGTTTATTTAACTGTCGTTCCCAAAAGCTTGCAGTAAAGTGCGCGCATTTTGTTAATAATTTAAACAGCACAAAAGTATGCCATCATTTATTTTTGGCTTCTGGCTGTTCTTTAATTAAACCAGTTGTAATGCTGTTGAGCTGTAAAAAATAAATTAATACCTGGTCTTACTTAATTAAACACTTTTTAAGGGCGATTAGATATTCAAATAATTCACTCTGCTTGGACAAGTACTGATAACAATCGATTAGCCTAAATCTGGAAGTCCGAAATTTTACTGAAACTTGATAAAAACAGATATGCCGCAAAAAACAGATCGTTCCTGATATGATTGTAATTCCTAAAGACCAATTTGTGGACTGTCACAAGTTCAAAACGAAACATCTACACCCGATATTAATTCATAAAAACTTTTATTAAGCGAACCCGTGGTGTCGTGTGTTCTTTTAATATACAAACACTCACGACGACTATCTATGCAAACACGAATTTAAAAATATATATATTTTTGGGGGTCTAATCTCATTGACAAAATTCAACACAATATAGAAATAATTATGCTTAAACATTTTAACGTTATATATTCATGATCATCTTCACATTTCTAGATACGAGTCCCGTGTTTGTGGTAGATTATTCGAGTATATTAATCGACGTTTATTTATTTTTCTTGAGCGGGAGTTACAGTATACTTAATCACAGGCTATCAACCCAAGTTCGAATACATAAATAATATTCCAGGCTTAAGCAAGAAAAAAATATATGTGCATGCGTGCTTAGAAATCTCATTTGATTATTAAGTAACTCGTTTTTGAGCAAGTCATTGCGACTAAGCAAACAAACACAACTATGGAATACTCTGCAAAAAAGTGTTTGATTTCGAATGGTTTTTGGAAATTTGTAGACTATAGAGATGGCATAAATATCATCTTTATATTTTTTCAATTCGAAAATAAGTGTAGGAAATGTCACAAGAGAGCTTGTGTTAGATAACTGCGCACTTAGATACGCCAGCCAGAGGGCAGTCGAGTTGAAATTCATTTGCTGAAAGTTTAACTGATTCGCAGTGGCAGAGAGACACGTTCCTGTAATGAATCGATTGACTACAATATAAGCTGAGTATGCCCGACTACTCAGCCAGAAAGATGCGACGGCTGTCAACTGACAATGATCGACAATATGATTGCTTATTTCGATGAATAACCACAATACAATAATAAATATTTATATTTCCAGACTTAGACACATGTACTTAAAACACAATTAGATATTCCCTACCTTATCAACGGCCGCAGGTTATATTAAATAAATGAACAAGTGAAAATGCTCTATACGGCAGTGCCCAACTAGGGGATACTCTAAACCGTGCACCGAGCTGACGATAGAAGCATTCTTACTTCACATTAAGCATACTAACATACACACATGCAACCACACACCGGCGAAAGCTCTAATGATTCATAAGCATGGAAGGCCGGAGGCTGACTCCGTGTTCCCACAGGGAAGCGCTCTTGGACCGTTCTACTACTCCCTCTTCACAGTAGACATTCCTGTGTCTGGAGAAGGCAATACTGCTACCCTTAGTGGAAAATCATTGCGTGCCTCATACGCAGATGACATCTGATTTTCTTACTCGGCGCCATGCGAGTATGAGGCAGTGACGGGTTGCAAGAGGACCTTCACTTGCTTGACAGTTGGGCTCGCAGACGGATTCCATTGAATCCGGGTAAGTGCAGAATTGTGTGGCTTGACGATTGGGCGTTATCTTGGACAAGCAACTGACTTTTAGGCCATACAACCAGGCCACAGTATCTAACTGTAGGTACAAGAGGGCAAGAGGGCAATATATAACGCGGCTATCATGCCCACCTGTTGATACGGACGCCAGATCTGGGGAATGGCTGCTAGGTCGAACCGAAAACGTATTAAAACACTCCAGAACAAAGCCCTTCGATTAATAACCGACTGTGATTAATAAGTGCGCGGTTCGACGCTTCACCGTGATTTGAATCTAGAATCTGTTGAGCTGCAAATCAAGCGATATACTTAAATCACACGTGACTCAGACTAGCCAGACCTCTCTCTACCCCATCACCTAGCTGAAAAGACGCACCTGTTAGTGCGGATATTGATGGTCGATTCTTGGCAAAACTAATAAAACATTACAAAGAATTAAAAAAAATTAAACATTAAACATTAAACATAGTAACATACATACATAAACACACATGCAAGCACACACTTGTTCACACAGCGGCTGTGCTTCTTCTTTACTTAACCTCAATTGCTGAAAGTTTGTTCTTAAAATTCGTGTATAGTATATACCAAATCAAAAGTCTATACATTTTTCAATTTTGATACTGATAGAACTGATATACGAGAATATATATTTGCAGCTATTATGGTTGGATGGACACATGGTCCAGGTCCGCATCTCCAAATGCCTGTTTCTGTCGCATACATTTGCACTATACTAATATACCCTTTCCTGTCATTTTCAATGGGCTTAGGGTATAAAAACATGCTCCCTCCCTAAATTTAACGTTATATTGTTATATGTGGGACACGATGGAGGCAGAGTCTCAGTCATCCGAGAATCGCGGTGTGGAACGGTCGTCCGATAGTCGGGAAGAGTTCATAGTGGCCGGAATACGAAAAATAAATAAATTAAACTGAACAAAGTCAAGAATTGTGCCATTAATATATATGTATCTATGCAGGAATCTATCATTTGTTGCATGTGATCAATAGTTCGCCACTTAATTGTGGCACTTAAGACAAAAAAAAAGCATAGAAAATACTATTAATATTAATTTGCATTTCCGCAATGAAGTTGCAGGCGTTGAGTCTGTTTATACTGTGCTCTGCGCTGGTCGCGCTGCCCCAAGTAAGGCCAGCCAAAATTCTAGCTGTCTATGCGTTTCCAGGTAAGCGCGCTTCACTGTACTGCAGCCGCTGCATTAAGACTGACTTAAATGCAGGCAAGAGTCACTTTATGATGCACACGGCGCTGATCAGGGAGCTCATAGAAAATGGACACCAAGTCACGATGATTGCGGCCTTTTCGCTGGCCTCCCAGCAGCTGGGAAGCAACTACACGGAGCTGCTGATCGAGCCCGTCTACGATTTCTGGCATGATGGTGAGCAGCTGACGCCGCCTTATCACAAAGGGGTCTAACCTTTTTTTGCCACTTGCCACAGTGAAGCTGAACTTTGGAGTACAGCATCTGTTTGATCTGACACGCATGAATAACTATGATTTCCTAAAAATGCTGGAGATAATTGGCCTGAAGACCACGGAGCATGCCCTACGTCAGCCCCACGTACAGGCCTTGATACATGCCAGCCAGACGGAGGGCGTGTTCGATCTGCTGCTCGCCGAGCAGTTCTATCAGGAGGCCTTCCTGGCGCTGGCCCACAAGTATAAAATACCCATTGTCACCACCAGCACCCTGGGCTATGAGAATCACATGAGCCAGATGATGGGCCTGATCACACCCTGGTCCTTTGTGCCGCACGGATTTATGCCCTTCACCGATCGCATGTCCTTCATGGAGCGTGTGCGCAACACCTATGTTTCGCTTTACGAGGACTTAGATAGACTGTTCAACTACTTTCCCAAAATGGATGCCATCACGGAGCAATACTTCGGGCCAGTCTTAGGTGAGTGCCGACAGTTGCTGTAAAGAGAGTCCCCTGCTATTTCTTTCGCCCGTAGCTGAGGTGCCCAAGGTCAGGCACATGGAGACGCAAATCTCGGTGATGCTGCTCAACAGTCACGCACCGCTGACAACAGCACGTCCTACTGTGGACGCCATGGTGCCAGTTGGCGGCATGCACATCTATCCGCCCAAGCCGCTGCCCATGGACATGCAGGGTTTTCTCGATGCGGCAACAGATGGCGCCATCTACTTTAGCCTGGGCAAGTGTCAACTCCTTTAGGGGAACTCCGCCTGTCCATACTAACCACACCCTACCCTATTCCCATTTCAGGCAGCAATGTGCAAAGCAAGGAGATGCCGGCCCAGATGCTGCAGCTATTCCTTAAGGTCTTTGGGTCCATGAAGCAGCGCGTGCTGTGGAAATTCGAGGACGAATCCATTGGTCAGCTGCCACCAAATGTGATGATACGCAAGTGGCTGCCGCAGGCGGACATATTGGCGCATCCGAATATCAAAGTGTTCATCACGCACGGCGGCCTCTTTGGCACGCAGGAGGGCGTGCACTATGCCGTGCCCATGCTGGGCATACCCTTCTACTGTGACCAGGTGTGTTTCTTATCACTTTTCAATTATAATGTGGTATATGATACAGCTCTCACCACCCACAGCATCTCAACATGAACAAGGCCGTGCTGGGCGGCTATGCCATTAGTCTGCACTTTCAGTCCATTACGGAGCAGCTGCTGCGCCACTCGCTGCTGCAGCTCATCCACAATGCCAGCTACGCGGAGAATGTGCAGCGCGTCTCCCGCATCTTTCGCGATCGCCCGCTGCCGCCACGCCGGAGCGCCGTCTACTGGATCGAGTATGTGATACGGCACAAGGGAGCACCACATATGCGTTCCGCGGGTCTCGACCTAAAGTGGTATCAGTTCTATCTGCTGGATGTGATAAGCTTTGTGGCAGCGGTTTACTTGGCTGTGCTCCTTCTGCTGCTGCTGGCCTTACGCTTGCTGCGGGGCAGCGGCAAGAAGCATAGCAAATCCAAAAGTCATTAAATCATCATTCATTCAATCTAGCTGTAATTATTGCCGTCAAATAAAAATAGTTGATATGCATCTGTCTCTCTGTAATCTACAAAGCAACGGATTCTGCCTCAGCTGATAACACGTGCGTGCCAATCAGTGCTCAACATTTCCAACACATCGCCAATAATACCACAGTCCGCACATTTGAAGAACTGTCGACTCACCAGCCAAGCAAAACGAACCCAAACAAGAAAGAACGACACGCCGAAGATTGAATACCCTTAAAGAAATTCATATAGAGAAGAAGTAAAGGTCTTTGCAGTTATGTTACTAAATAGAAATCTTGTAGAACAGACAAATTTCTTACTATGCAAACTCGTTTTTCAACCGATCGTTCCTTTTGAGCTATAAGATATGGCAGAAAGAGACAAACGAACATGAATATCGAATCGAATCGCTTCGGCTGTTGATGCTGATAAGAAATAAAATAAGGCATCTTTCTATATGCTTTACATATTTCGTGAATGAATTATAATACTTTCCACAATATTTCCTTGCCTGATCAAGCATATATTGCTTTATAGGGTCAAAACGTTTTACATATATTGTGATTAAATTATAATACCCTCTACAATGGCATACATATTCCCCTGAAGTGGGAGGCTAGGTAATACTCCGTGAGAACAGTATTTGCATTTTTCCATCTAAGCAAATAGTTAAAAGATTTGATTATTAAATTAAAGCGCGCATATACTATTGCTAGACAGTGCTCTGTATTAACTAAGAGCTATGTAAGTACTAGCGGAAAGATCGTTCATGGCATACCCCGCCAACAAATTCAAAGGCTGCAGGGTGTGTGAAAAACAACAACATAACATAACTTATTTCGCAATAGGCGCGTCGCCGATAAGTTGTCTCAACTCTACAACATATGTTTTATATGAGACCCGATGCCGGGTTAGCTACTCAGTCGTCTGTAAATCGCGGCGTGGGACGGTCGGCCGAAAATAGGGAAATAGGCGTAGTGCATACTGTGAACTGAAAATGGTGTGTACAACAATTAGGCATCGTTAAATTAAATTAAATTATTTGAATTAGGAGAAGAACTTTGGCAGAGAACCAAAAAAGTGCTCAAAGTTAAATAATTGTGATTTCATGTGTTCATAAGAAGAATATTACCAGCCCAAGCATAAGTTCAACGAGGTCAACGAGTTTTTGATCATATTTTAGCATAACTACAATAACAAACGTTCCCTCGTTTATTTTTGCTTCCTTCTTTCTCTCTTTATTCACAAACGTTTGCAAACGTTTAAGTCGCTTATATCTAATGAACATCATATCAACGTGTATCTAGATCTACATCCCTAATAATGCCACTTAAGGCGTCACGTTGAAAAGCTATTAGACGAAATTATTTATAGTTATAGATAATTGTCATAGACACGCTGGTGAAAGGGCAAAAGCTTCAAGCAGTTCGTAATCGTAAGACAGATAAGGCAGCAATTTAAAAATGTACAAACCTTTCGCAAACGGCAGCTATTCAAATAATTATCATAAAGATAAGATGATGATTGCGATTAGAATTTTCAGTGGAATAGATCTTTCACCACAACTCTTTTACGCCCATTATTAACCTATCAACATGACCAACAGCAACCGAAGATCACCTTGAAACTGCTGCTGCTGGGCCTTGTGGCAGTGCAGCATTTGGAGGTTGGCGCTGGATCCCGCATATTGGCCCCCTTCTTCTTTCCGGGCAAGAGTCATTTCATGATGACAAACGCCATTATCAGAGAGTTGGTGCAGCGCGGACACGAGGTGACCTTCATCACGCCTTTCTCATTGGCCAAGGAGAACTTGGGTTCCAATTATACGGAAGTTCTAATTCCACAATACGACATATGGGGATCAGGCAAGTCAATTGAAGTAAACAAGAATTTAAACAGCTTTTAACTAATCTTAACTACCGCTTGCAGTTATGGGAATGAGCAAAGCCAAGACGGCGCTGGACATGAGAGATTTGGGCACGGTGACATTCATCAAGCTAGCCTATGTCATGGGCTTGGGTAGCACGGACTTTGCGTTCGAGCAGAAGGAAGTGCTGAATTTGATCAATGCCAAGGACAAGTTGGGCAAATACGATTTGCTTCTCACGGAGCAGTTCTTTAACGAGGGAGCCCTCATTTTGGGTCATCTGTATCAAATACCTATCATTACCATTTCAACCTTTGGCTTCGCGAACTATTTGACTTCCTTGACGGGCATTATAAATCCCTGGTCGTATGTGGCCCACGGCTGGAAGCCCTACACAGATCGCATGACCCTTTGGGAACGAATTGACAGCGTTTACGGCTCGCTTGTAGAAGAAGCGATGCGCACCTTTTGGTACTATCCGGCACAAAATCAGATTTTGCACAAACACTTCTCCAAGCAGTTCAAGGAGCTGCCAACCATTAAGCAACTGGAGCGTAACATCTCAGCCATCCTTCTGAACTCATATTTGCCTCTGGAGCCGCCTAAGCCCCTTTCATTCAATATGATTCCAGTGGGTGGACTTCATATTAAGCCACCGAACCCATTGCCCACAAACATGCAAAAGTTTTTGGATGATGCTAAACATGGAGCCATCTACTTTAGTCTGGGTAAGTTGTATCTGCTATTATCTGACCTTGACCTTGGTTAACACATTTTCTGGCAGGTTCTCAAGTGCGCAGTGCAGACTTTCCGCCTGAGAAGATCAAGATGTTTCTCCGTGTGTTTGGAAGCATGAAGCAACGCGTCCTGTGGAAGTTTGAGGACGACAAGTTACCCAATCTCCCAGCTAATGTGATGGTCCAGAAGTGGATGCCCCAGAATGATATACTCGCCCATCCCAATGTCAAGGTTTTCATTTCCCATTGTGGACTTTTCGGGACTCAAGAGGCGGTACATTACGGCGTTCCCGTGCTCGGCATGCCCGTCTATGCCGACCAGCACCTGAATATTAAGAAGGGCACAGCTGCTGGTTATGCCCTTGAAGTCAACTATCTCACAGTAACAAAGGAGGAGCTGCAGTCTTCCCTTACAGAGCTGCTGGAGAATCCCAAGTACAGGGATAACATGAAGCGTGCATCGCGAATCTTCCGCGATCGACCGCTGAGTGCGATGGATACGGCCATTTTCTGGATCGATTATGTTATTGATCACCGTGGAGCGCCGCATATGGTATCTGCGGGTCTGGACCTGGCTTGGTATCAGTTTTACCTGTTGGACATCATTGGCATTGCCTTGGCAATCATACTGTTGCCCATTTTGGGTCTGATCCTCGTTTGTCGCAATTTCAAGTCTGCGAAGAAGCCTAAAACAAAGGCTAAGCAAAACTAACAAAGTCTTCTTTTATGTTGCTAACTTCAACTGAAAAGCAATATTGTGCTATAATTATGTTAATTAGTTTGCGTACATTTTTAAAATGTTTTTAATAGATATTTACTATATTGGAGTTTTTAATTAATTACCTTCCTCCCTCCCTCTCTCTCTCCCCTTCTCTCACCATCTCTCAATTCCCTCCTCCACTCCTTTACGCCTGCTCTCATTTTCTCTCTAACAAAGCCACCTTTTTTTAATATAAAAAAGCAATTTCTAGCGAAAACATTTCCTATTAAGAATCGGGAAGAAAGCGAAGCATTTCTTGACACCTGCATCATCAGGCAACTAAAGTACCCTACATTATATTATTTTTTTTTCCCGCGAATGCCTAATCAATGAACTGCATCTCATTTTGCAAACACAGATATGTATGCCAAACACTATATGTAAGACTATTGGGTATACCCCGCCCTTGCCATGGTTCGGAGTCCGCACTAGCTATCTCCACCCCCCGCCCCCATCCGATAGCTATAAATCAAATGAATAAATGTATGGAAGCAAGAACAAGAAGATCTACTGTTGAAATTGCACCAAGATCGGTTAGGAGCACAGAAGTTATTAATGGAAACGTGTGCGTATACCGAATACGCAGCTAGCGCAAATTGCAAGAAAATCTCTATACATGTGCACACGTGCATTCAGGCACGTCTTTATTGGATTCTATAAACAGCATTGCAATTGCGATATTTTATTCAGTGCTGTGTGTAAATGCTGCTATTTTAATTAGCTATTTTTCGTTGAAAATGAATTGCTGTTATGGCAATCGAGTGGAGGCGGTGGCAAGTTGTTCGGTCGATTGCACCCAATAGAGAGAACTTTTTCTAACAATTTTTTATTGCTGATAAAGCAAACGAGCACGTAGCACAAGCTACCTTTTGGGTTGGTAGAGAAGGGTATCCTCTACTCGGCAACTCCCGACTTGAGCCTCATACCTATCTTAGTTCATATAATCAGCAGCGCCTGATCCTCGACAGGTTCCCCGACAAACACCCTTCGTATTCGGTTAATGAGCTCCAATTTCTATGCGCTACAAAGTAAGTCGTCAATATGGTTCGTTAAGCTATCGGATCTACAGTCAACACTGTGAATCTGTCACGAACGGACTGTAAAAATATTAAAGTAAACAAACGCAAGAAAAAAACTGTTTTGCTAGTTGCCGACACACAGGCAAAAGAAAATTATTTCAGCGCTAACAAAATTGCAATGTTTCAAATTTCGTTGCGGGCAGCGTAAATATTTTGCGTTTGTTATTTCTTTTTGATGGGATTCGCAAAATAATAATGGTTAAGATTTGCCATTTTTAATGTTGGACGCCAATTATAGCTAATTCCTTCCAGGCAACCTACTGTGTCAGCTCAAGAGTTATCTTCAATTTATTCCCGGCGGTAATTAATATTCGTTTAAGCTGCACCGAGCTAGTCCTAGTCTATACCGTAAGGCCGACTGTAGTCCAGCATAATGGAGTCCACTTAGTCAGGAGCCAAATGCAGCTAGCAATGCTATATTTTATTATAGTGACCAACTATTTATCAACTATTGTTATATCAAATATTGGATAACATGGAATATTCTATACTTCTCTCATGGCATATGCCCAGACAACCCAATCAATAACTGAAGGGTATATGAAATGCATATTAAGTCTTACTACATTTCAAAAGACGCGTCACCGATAGCTTGCCACAAGTCTACATATGTATATATTTTTTAATGCGAGACCCGATGCCGGGCCAGCGACTCAGTCGTCTGTGAATCGCGGAGTGCAGCGGTCGGCCGAAGATAGGAAAATAGGCGTAGTGCAAACTGTGAACTAAAAATGGTGTGTATATCGACAAAGCATCGACAAATTTAATAAAATGATTTGAAATTTGAGGATCAAAAAAGTGCACAAGTTAAATAGTCGTAACTACTTATAATAATATTAATATTATAAGGGGCTCAACAAGTTTTTAATTGTAATTTAGCTGCAAATGCAAACGTTGCTCCGTATTTCTCAGACCTATTACTCAGACCTTTATACCTTGCTTCTCTCTTTATTTACAAGCGCTCTCAAAATTGTAAATCGCTTCTCTATAATGCAAAAACGTTTTGCCACTGCATCTGTATCCTAATAATGCCACTTAACACACACCTCACGTTCAAAAGCTATTGGACGGAATTATTTATACTTAAAGATAATTCTCATGGACAAGAAGGCAATAGATCGCAATCGGCTTTATTCAAATAATTATTATTAGAGACAAGACCGCAATACAGATTACAATTTCCAGTGACATAGATCATCAATTTAACTCGAACTCTTGTACGCCCATTAATAACCTATCTACATGACCTTCAGCTACCAAAGATTGCCTTGAAACTCCTTCTGCTGGCCCTTGTGGCGCTGCAGCTTTTGGAGATTGGCGCTGGATACCGGATACTGGCTCCCATCTTCTTTCTCGGCGAGAGTCACTTCATGATGATAAACTCCATTATCAAAGAACTGGTGCAGCGTGGACACGAGGTGACCTTCGTCACGCCTTTCTCATTGGCCAAGGAGAACTTGGGTTCCAATTATACGGAGGTCCTAATTCCACAATACAACATTTGGAGCGCAGGCAAGTCTATTGAAGTAAACAAGAGCTTAAACAGCTTTTGTCTGTCACTTGCAGTTATGAATATGAACAAAGCCAAGGCAGCGGTTGACATGAGAGACTTGGACACGGTTACATTCCTCAGGATGGCCCATGTCATCGGCTTGGGTAGCACGGACTTTGCGTTCGAGCAGAAGGAAGTGCTGAATTTGATCAATGCCAAAGACAAGTTGGGCAAATATGATTTGCTTCTCACGGAGCAGTTCTTTAATGAGGGCGCCCTCTTCCTGGGCTATCTGTATCAAATACCTATTATTACCATAACATCCTTTGGCTTCTCCAACTATTTCTCTTCCTTGACGGGCATTATAAATCCCTGGTCATACGTAGCTCACGGCTGGAAGCCCTACAGAGATCGCATGTCCTTTTTCGAACGAGTTGACAACGTTTACAGTTCGCTTGTAGAGGACGCGTTGCGCACCTTCTGGTACGATCCGGCACTTAATGATATTTTACAGAAACACTTCTCCAATCATTTCAAGGAGCTGCCAACCATTAAGCAACTGGAGCGTAACATCTCAGCCATCCTTCTGAACACCTATTTGCCTTTGGAGCCGCCTAGGCCCGTTTCATTCAATATGGTTTCAGTGGGTGGCCTTCACATTAGGTCAGCGAAACCCTTGCCCACAAACATGCAAAAGTTTTTGGGTCAGGCTAACCATGGAGCAATTTATGTTAGCCTAGGTAAGTTGTATCTACGGTTTTCGAACCTTGATCGTGGTTGATATATTTCCTGTAAGGTTGCCAAGTGCCCAGCGCAGCATTTCCGCCTGAAAAGCTAATCATGTTTCTCGGTGTGTTTGGAAGCCTGAAGCAACGCGTCCTGTGGCAATTCGAATATGACAAGTTACCCAATCTGCCAGCTAATGTGATGGTCCAAAAGTCGATGCCCCATACCGATATACTTGCTCATCCTAATGTCAAGGTTTTCATCTTCCACGGTGGACTTTTCGGCTTTCAGGAGGCGGTGCATTACGGCGTTCCCGTATTGGGCATGCCCGCCTTCCCCGACCAGCACTTGAATGTTAAGAAGGGCATAGCTGCTGGTTATGCCCTTGAAGTCAACTATCTCACAGTTACAAAGGAGGAGCTGCAGTCTTCTCTTACAGAGCTGCTGGAGAATCCTAAGTACAGGGATAACATGAGGCGTGCCTCGCGCATCTTCCGCGATCGACCGCTGAGTGCGATGGATACGGCCATGTTCTGGATCGATTATGTAATTAAACACCGTGGAGCACCGCATATGGTATCTGCGGGTCTGGACCTGGCTTGGTATCAGTTTTACCTGTTGGACATCATTGGCATTGCCTTGGCAATTATACTGTTGCCCATTTTGGGTTTGCTCCTCATTTGTCGCAATTATAACTCTGCGAAGAAGCCCAAATCAAAGGCAAAGCAAAACTAACAAAGTCCTAATTTATGTCGATAACTCATAATGATAAGCAATATTGTGTTAATAAGTTTGAATACATTTTTTAAATGTTTTTAAATTCGAAACGTTGGTGTTTTCAGTCGGTTAACATTCTGCCTCACACTCCCCTTTTCTCCTTCTCTTATTTCCTCTTCTTAGACTCTAAAACTAGACACAAACTAAACTAGAGACAAACACTATTTGCATGATAAATAGTTTATAATAGAAGAATTGATACGAGAAAATGAAGACTTCTCACAAAATACCCTGTGATGAATAAGGGAGGTATCCAAAAAGTATCCAGCGCAGACATTTCGCCCGAAATGCTCAGGATATTCTTTAATTTGTTTAAGTGGATGCCCCTCCTCCTTGGTCATTCAAATGTCAAGGTTTTCATTTCCCACTGTGGTCTCTTCGGGACTCCGTTCCCATGCTCGGCATGCCCGCCTATGCCGACCAGTAATTGAATATTAAGAAGGGTACAATATCTGGCTACACCCGGGCGTGGACTACTGTACGTTTACGGAGGAGGCACTACGCTATTCCCTCAAAGAGCTGCTGGAGAATCCTAAGTGCTGGGCAAACATGAAAAGTGCCTAACGCATCTTTCGCGATCGTCCGCTGAGTGCGCTGGATACGTCCATGTTCTGGATCGACTATCTCATTGAACACCGTGGAGCACCGCATATGATATCTGCGGGTCTGGACCTGGCCTGGTATCAACTTTAACTGCTGGACATCCTTGACATTGCCTTGGCAATAGTTGTGTTGCCCGTTTTGGGTCTGCTCCTAGTCTGTCGCAATTTCAACTCTGCGAATAAGCCTAAAACAAAGTCGAAACGAAGCTAGGAAATTCTAGATTTTTTTGTAACTCAAAACGTTTTATTGATAATCAAAAGTGTGCCACAAATATAATGTTAAGTTGTTTGAATAAATTTATAGTTGTTTTCTTAGAGTTTTTAATACAATTTTGAGTGTTCAGTAAACATAGACAAATGACTTTTCTCAACTCGCTTCAGGGCAACAAATTGCTGCCCAAATAATTTATAAGAAAGCTTACGAGAAGAGTACAGAGACCAGCGACAGCTATCTGAACTGGGCGCTGAAATACATATTAGGGGTACTCATAATTTCCAATCTTACAGATCAAAATATACTTTTCAAATTTCAACGAATACAAAAGCTAGCGTGTGAATAAGTGTGGGTGTGTGTTTTTCGATGTGTGCGTGTTTGTTTTGTGGTTGTGCCGTGCGCGCTTTAATGGCTTATGACCATGGACTTCTTTACCTTCTTCTCCTTCTTCTCATGGGTGATGGTCACTTCCTCTGCGTTTAAGAAAGAAAATAGAGTTGAGTTTAAGTTGGGGCTTTGAATGCGTAAAATTTTTAATGGATTACCTTGGAACTTGTGAGGCAACTGCTTCACAGTCTCAATAGTCTTGACCGTCTTCTCGCCGGGCTCGATAATCTCCTCCTCGTACTCCTCAATGATCTCCTCCTCGTCGGTATCCTCGGGGTTCGATTTGGAGCTGGGCACCGGATCGTACACAGTCTTCACTGCCTTCTTCACAATACCCTCAGCGGTCACGGTGGTGTAGTGGTACTCAGTGCCGCCCTCGATCTTGATGGTCTCAACGGTGGTCACATCGCCTGGATTCTCGGAGGGCACGATCTTCTTGGTGCCCGACTCGGACCGGAGCTTCTTGGTGCTGGTCACGTTCTTGTGCTTCTCAGCATCCTTCAAAGTCTTCTTGTACTGCTTGATCTCCTCCTCGGTCAGCTCGACTTCTTCCTCCTCGTAGACGGTCTTCGAGGTGGTAATCGTCTTGCCCGACTCCAGTTCCGTTGAGTAGGTGTACTCCACGCCGCCGGGCACACGCTTCGAGGACACGGTAGTGGTATCGTTTTGCACAAAGTCCGCTGGTGGTGGTGGTGCCGATGACTTGGGCTTCTTCTTCTTCTTGCCGCTATCGTTGGAGCTCTGAGAAATGGCCTTGATGCTCTGCTCCTGGAGCGAATTCTTGCGCACGGTGCGATTGTTCTCGGTGATCTCAATGTTCTGGCTAACCCGACGCGTCTCCTCGATGGTGGTATCCTCGCGATAGTTCGACTGCTTATCGTTGACATTTTGGATCACGTTCTTCTGCGTCTTTTGAACGATGCGACGAGAGGATGACTCCGTGGAGTCGGTAGAGTCCACCGACGACTTGCGCGTAACATTCTTCTTGGTCTTGTTCACCTGGGTGTTGGTGCTCTCATTGATTTCCGTGGGCACGGAATCAAAGAAGGTCTTGGTGCGCGAGCTGCGCGTGCCATCGTCATTGATGGTGGTGTAGACCTCCTCGTAACCGCCCTCAATGGCGCGGGTCAGCATGGTGGTTCTCTCATCGATGCGTATCTCCTTGCCCAGACGCTGCTTGACGAGCTTCTTGTTTGCCTGCTCCTTGGCCAGATCCGCCTCGCTAACAGGCTTCGGATCCCAGAAGGTTTTCACCTGGGTCTTGACCGTACCATTCGGCTGGGGCGTGGTGATGATCATCTCGTAGCCACCCTCAATCAGCTTGTACTTGGTGCTAGCACCGGTGGCCCTGTCGTACTCAACCTTGCCATCCTGAATGTCCGCGGAGGTCAGGAGCTCTTCGGAGTTTGGTAAAGAAGTTGTATCAAGTAGTGTTATTGTGTGTGTGTGTGTGTAGATTAGATGGTACAATATGTAAGTAAATTGACTGTGCAGCACAGCTTGCGAACCACTTATTCTCTGTCTGAGTGTGTGTGTGTGCGTGTATGGATGTGCCATTACAACCATATAATGGGTTTCACTTTAATATTCCTATGCTAAGATATTGCAAATTAGTTTCATCTAAGGCGCATTTGGTAAATTGTTTAATAAATTCTTTAAAGCAAACTTTTTACAGCATTTTGTAGGTTTTACTGTACTTGTACTTGGGCTTAGACGTGCACCGGCTCCGGCGCGAATTCGGATTCGTTGTCGCTATCCAGTTGCAGGGTCAGTCGGAGCAGCGCCGGCGTCTTCGCTGTCCTGGTCGCCAGTTGCGGCAGGCAGCTGTAGTGCAACAGCAGCTGCAGTAATTGTTATTTGAACTTACGCGACGCCTTCTGGCGGCTCGGCTTAGTAGGAGCCGGATTCTGTTGAAGGATGTGCTGCGGTTGCGTCGCCTGAACCGCAGGCTGGACACGTTGCGGCTTCCCAGTTGTCGTTGTCGGTTGCTGCTCCACAGCTGTGTTGCCGGAGACAGTTTTCTGTGCGTTAGTTGGAAGTTGGTTAGTTGTGGCGGCTGCGGGGCTGGCCGTGGCCTCTGCCACACTTGACCCCTGGTTAGTTGCTAAACTTGAGCTTGAGCTGGGGCTGGGGCTGGGGTCAGAGCTGGGCCTGGGCCAGGCTGGCGTTGCGTTGTGCGTTTGCTGCAGCAGTCTGCTAGCGGTTTTAGTTAGCATTTTGTTATAGCCTATCGTGTTATCGTTATCGTTATCGTTATCTGGAAAATGCGGTTAGGGTAGTTGGTTTAACTGGCAAAAAAAACTGGCAGGTCAATTGCATAAATAATGACTGAAGGTGATGACTGAAGCTGTTTGAAGCACAAAACACTCGATAAATTGTTGATTGAGAGTGATGGAAGATGACAGATGCATAATATTGCGAAATGTATTGCTAAAATTTAAGAGAGCTAAAATAAAGTGATTGAGGCTGTGAATAAAAACGATGATAAATGCCAATCTTATAAAATAGCCCCAGCTTATGATAATATTCTAAAAAATTGGGCCAAAAAAGGCTTATATGGGTTGGGTTTGATGTAATGTAGTGTCTGATGGCGCTTTGAGAACTTAGAAATAAACGACTGAAAACAATAAATGTAAAAAATATTGTTCAAACTCACATACAATACGAGAGAAAGGGGTAAAGTTAAATATAACACGAGGAAATCTTAAACTAAAATAAAAATGCACATTATAAACGATTCGCGACGAAACGAAGGGTTTTGTTTTGTGTTTTGTGTTCTTGAATAAATATTTTATAGACAATATTTCAATGTAAATTACAACATAAAGGTATAAGAAAGATTTTATTGCTGTGAGAAAGCAACTAAAACAAATAGTCGGCGTTCAACTCGTTTTGAGGGGAAGCTTACACACACACACCGGTAACACACACACGCAACATTTTCAAGTTAGTTTCGAAATATATATATTTAAGAGATTTTTGTTTTATTATTATTTTACATTTTATACACACGTTTCGCATTAAAAACAGAAAAAATTAAATCAAATTGATGAGTTTTATGCAGATGAGCTGAAAAGTGGATGCCACAAAACGGTTAAGACTCAAGAGGGCAAAAGTACAACAAATTTCAATTAAAATACAATGAAGTGTAAAAGTTTTGTGGCTGAGCCAAGTGGTTGTGTTGCCAAGGATGTGTTTGTGCGTGTGTGTGTGTGTGTGAATTAAATTGAAAGCCAAGTGCGTCGTATATGCACACATACACACACACACACACACATGCGTTGCAAGTGTAACGTCGAGAGCAGCAGCGGCGGCAACGAGTGCAAAAAGTTTAATTTGAAAACTTAATTAAAATTTCTGTGCTCTCATATATATACCTCTATATATATTTTTTTCTTTTTTTCAGTTTTATGATATGTGTGCTACTGCTGCTTACGAGGCTACAACATACGTGCGTCGGTGTGTGTGTGTGTGTGAGTGTGTGTGTCTGGGTGTAGCAATTAAATATGACAATCTGAATGAGACTTGACAGCACTTGGCTTAAGTTTTCTTCTGTTTTTTTTTTCTTTTTTGATCAGACTCAAAAACTTGGCACAGTTGTGTGTAAGTCTGTGTGCGTGCGTTGGGCTGGGATATAGAGTTGTCAGTGGGCTGAACAAAACGACAAACGATTTGTTTATGTTTTTGTTCTCTACATATATTATTTTGTATCTATGAACTACCAGTTTGGTCAGCCTCCGCGTCCCCCTCCTTTTCGGGCTTGGCCTCCAGAGTCTGCGTAATCTTCTTCCAGATATTGTCGAACGCATCGGCGCCCGAATAGTCAATCTGTCCCGATTCCCAACACTGGCGACGCATCAGATTCTCGTACTGCTCCTGTTCAGGTGTGCGTTCGACGCCGATGCGCAGCTGTGCCAAGGCGCCAGCGAGACCAGCCTGAAAGTATCCAATTTGCCAGTGTTATACAGTGTCACAGAAAACATTGCTGCCAAGTGCGTACACAAAACAAACTGTTTATGGGTAACACAACTAAAGTACATAGAAGCATGCTTGATTTACAAATTGATTAGTATTTGCTTTTATTTGGTTTTATATATACAATTTAAAGTAATTTTCTTAAGGTACATTCAAGTGTTAGTGTTGAGGTTTATTGCGCGTGCACAACATGGCGTATGATTAATATGACGTAACAACAAAATGCTGCTCGGTGGGGGTCATAAATCAGCGCGCCCCTTGCTGCAAGCTGCTGACTGCAACATATTACCGCATATCCTCTAGCAGACCTTGTGGCAGATTACTCTATATGCTATATGAAGATGGAGTGCGGCACCAGCGCTGTCTATGTGTGAGTGTGTGTGTGTGTGTGTGTTTGTGTGTGCAATAAACAACAATAAAAAATGCTGTTGGCATTTGAATGCTTTTTATATGCAAATGCAGCTGCAACTGCCACAGCAGCTAACGGTGAAAGTCCACACACCCACAAACACACAACACGAGCCACACACACACACACACTTGACCAGCTCAATCCCCCTGCCACGACGTAGCCAATGCCTTTCCAATAGGCCAAAGCAAGCAATAAATCAGCAAATGGAGCAGCAGCAGCAGCAGCAACAACAACCCACAAACATCATGATGATGATGTTGTTGTTGTCGATAATGTGTAAGCAGATAATGAAGTGATAGTGGACAGTGGACAGTGGACAGTGGACAGTGGACAGTGGACAGTGGACAGTGATAACAACGTGTGATAATGGACATGCAAATGTGGCAAGCAGCAGGCGGCAGCAGCTGCAAAATGCCAACTTAACTAGACACCAGACGAGACGCAGGACGAGCGACACGAGACGCACTGCGACATATTGGGGGCAAGGAGTGTATGGCAGACGAGAGACATGAGACGAGAGAAACGATAGACATGAGACGAGAGACACGAGACGAGAGACATGAGAGACAGTGCAACCAAAGCAATGAGAATTACATCAAATCAGCAAACAGAAGGAGCGGGAAATGGTTTGTTGTGGGTCATGTGGTTGTGGCTGTTGTGGTTTGGTGTGGTGCACTTTGAGATTTGCCCGATTCATAATAATGTTTTCTTAATTTTGTTTTACCTCAGCAGCAACGGGAACTTCTTCGATTTGTGTGTGGTTTAAGGTGGTTTGTGTCGTGTGCTGTACAGTTGGACAATGCACGGAGTGGTTCGTGTGTGGTTCGTGGGTGGGTGCTTGCTCATTGCTATTTACATCAATAGATTTATAGTCTTCGTTGGCAGTGGGTGGTGCTGGTGGTTGTTGTTGTTGTTGTGGTGGTGGTGGTGATCGGGCTTGAGGTGTTGGTGATGTGGGTCTGGGGGTATCATTTCGGCATGCATCGCTCTGACCCCAACTCCGTCTCCTCTCGCCATGCACTTGCGTTTCACATGAATTTTCATTCGTATTTTCATTATGCCAGAGCTCGGTTTCGGCTTCTGGTTTGGGCTCATTCAGTTCTCGCTCCACTTGCTCATAATAATCTGCCCAAGGATCACGAAATTCACGGACATGCGGCACATATTGCTGTTGTGGTTGTTGTTGCTGATGCTGATGCTGATGCTGGTGATAGTAGCTGTCCATATCGTTATGATATTCAGCATGGCTCGACGGATGCGTTATGTTTAGGCAAAGGCACTGGTTTGTGAATTTAGCGATAGTTTTTGCATGTTTTATTTGCGATAGTAAAGCGCATAATAGGAGTTGAAAATCAAAAATAAATTAAAATAACTTTAAAGCTATAAAATTATAAGACTAAAAGTTATAAAAAGTAAGCAAAATTAAAGTCAAGGAACTTAAAGAACAGACAAAGAGGGAGGGGAAAACAAGAAAACAAAACTCTTTTTACATAATACAGGGTATACAGGTCCTTACTAAAGTCTAATAAATGCATCTAGCATGAATCTGATAAATATAAATAATTATAAAATGTATATAGAGTCAACAAATAAACAACTTGTTCTCCTAAAATTTGGTCACACTTCAAATACAGTGCTGCCCATTTGATCTAGAGTTAATATCTGATACAAGAGCGTAAAAGGTAACAGAAGTAAGAGATAATTCTAAGATTAATATTTGTTTGTTCTATAAAACATGTAAATTCTTGTTTATTACAGCTTTTACAGGTGCGTAAAAGTAAACAGAAAATGAATGAAATTTTAAATCAACTATCACCAATCAAACACCACCATATTGCTTATATTTAAATAAGAAAAACAAATATAGGTTAACCCCACCATACATCCAGATAAATTCCTTATATACTTGAAAAATATTTTAAATATTATTTCGCACTAATAAATATGTACATTTTTGTTGTATGTATCGGAAGCTTTTATTAAGCCAGAGGTACTCAAACTTAAATATTATTTTCCCACGGCCCTTAAATCTTTAGGTTTTTTTTTCATCTTTTAAAATTACAATCATAATCTTTTCTTTGAATATCTTGTGTTGCCAAAAATTGATGGGCTCGTTGACCATTGTCTGTGATCATTTTGCTCCGTCTGGTAAACTTTTCACTCGATTTCATTATATACCCAATTACTTCTTGTCAATTGGCAATACCAATTTGCATGCCATTTGGATCATTTCAATTTATTGACGTCGCCAACTAAACATTCCGTTGGCACTAGGCCAAATCGATGCAGAATCGAAAAACACACAGAAAATAAGGAATCAACACAAAAAACAGGCGCACGCGGAAAATACACATAAGCACACACACACACACATACACACAGACACAGACATTGAACAGATACGTGGCATTAGAGGGAATAGAAGAAGAAAGACTCCACTTAGAGAAATGTCTGTCTAGCGCAAGAGAATAGATGACAATTGGGGCGTGGCTGTCAATTGAAATAAACTAAATAATTTAAAATAAACACAAAATAATAATAAACCAAAGAAAAGAAAAGAAAAGTGTGAATGAAAACTATAACGAGGTCGTTGAAACGCAAAATAAATCGATGTTTGTTTGTTATTTACATTTTGGCTTATCAATAAATAATCTAATTGTATATCGAATAATTATCGTAACCATATGTACAAAGTGCCATAAATATTATGAATATCTTGTGTGTAAACAATAATTAGAGCGACCCTCGCCTGGTGAGCTACAGTAAAGCGTTCTAAGTGTGCGCTGGTACTGAGTCAGCTTACCTCTGGTTGAACGCTTCTATCGGTATTATCACTAGCAATATCTGTATTATCCGGCTTTATAGGCTTTGTAGCGAATTCGCAGAGCAGCAAGTTAGGGTTAAAACGACAGATTGAGTTTTTTGTTGGTTAGGTTTTAGTCTTGGACGTAACGACAAACTCTCAAAAGTTGTTTAGCAAAAGTGAAAAACTAACAATCGTGTGGGTGTAGATAGTACTATGACAAGCACTTACCATAGTGTTGTCAAGGAAGTGATGCACATTATCACAGAAGATGGTCCACCAGTGTTGGATAAGGTCTTGCGCATGGGAGTAATCGTGGGGCGTGGCAGCGGTTTTTGTCTCAGAGTTGAACTGTATCAACCAGGGCTTCAGTTTGCCAGCAAAATGCAAAATCTTTATCTTATCTCTGAACCTGTGTGTGTGTGGAAATAAACAAAGATAGATACAAAATGAACCTCACAGATACTTTCTGTGCACTTGCAGTGCCTGGCCCACTTACTGTTTGAACGCGGGCAAGTAGCAGTAGGAAGCATAGGCTGTCACGTTATAGACAAAGGGCAAATGCTTCTTGATATCTGCGGTCGCCCAATCGGCAAAGAACTGATTCAACAGGCCCTGATCGCCGCCATCGAAGCTGCCGTTCTTCACGGCGAACTCTGTGATTTGATTGAAGGTCTCCACGCTGGGCTTGAAGACAAACACGCCCGAGTTGAAGCAATCCGGCCAGCTGACATCCGGAGCAGCGGACAGTTCCTCGCGCTCGAACAGCTCATCGCAGTTTTTCAGCACCTGTCGCCGGAGTAGAGGTAGGAAGTTATTCAGGTTCACCTGCTTGCTCTGTCAGTGGCCATATTTACCAGCGTGTCCGCATCGAGGAAGACGCACTTCTCGAACTGCACCAGGCGCCAGCAGTGGAGCTTTGTGAAGGTGACGCCCAGCTCGGGGCGGGCGAGCAGCGCCAGGTTGGCGGCATCCTGTGAGTCCAGCACATTCACCTCTTGTACAACATTGTACACGTCCTTCAATCTGTCCCGCATCGCCTCCGAAACGGTGGGCGTCACCAGCACAGCCAGCTGATGGGCGGTGCCGGCACGCTTCAGCGAATGGGCCAGCACCAAGGCGCCCAGCGAGTAGGTATCATTTGTGGTCAGGGTAACCCAGGCGAACTCTGTGAAGCAGATGCGACAGGAAGTTGGATCAGTTTACAGTCCATAGACACATACATTATATACATTTGAGATCTTAGTAGGGAGAGTGAGCTACACAGATACACGAACACAGTTACGAACACATTAGCTTGGCATTGGCACAAGTTTTTCCAATTTCCATTTTCATTTGCTTGTTTTTTTTTCGTATTAGTTTTGGCATACAGAAATTTTCGCAGCGCGGCAGCGGCCAAATTATGGATTATAAATAAACAGGCAGCAGGAGTATATATATGTATGTGTGTAGTTTATATAGATACACGATCTAATAGCTCTATATGTTTTGTGTGTGTATGTGTGTGTGTGTGTGTGCGCTCATCTACGTCAACAGCTTGTGGGCGGGGCACGCGGCACTCGCATGCATCGCTTTTGGCAAACTCTCGATTATTTGGGTTATATTGCGCCCCATTTGGGCTATTTTGTTGGATTCGCAAAAAAAGAGGAAAAACCAAAGAAAATTAGCAAAAAGAAGAGCATGGCAAAATATTTTTAAGGCGCATCTGCTTAGTCGGTAAATTATATTTTGCGTTGTTGGCATTTAGTTGGATCGAATATATATATATTTGATATATATTTATAAATTATCGTATACAATGGTATATATAAATCCGCGATCCAAATAACACTCAATATTATTCGTAAAGCAAGCGTTAATATCAGCGTTGAGTAATTACGAGCTGGACAATTTACATAAGGCATATTAACTACCTCTCTAATGTTATTATAAATCCGATTCTTAGGATTAACTTAAAAGGCTTAGTTTGCTTAAGGATGATAGCGACATTTTGTACTCAAGATCTTAAAGTTCGTATATCTTCCTTAAGCTCTATAATTATCTTAAATAATGATTAATGCAAGAGATATTTTCATCTGGCAAAAACTGAGAAAAGGAGAATACATCTTTGCACAACGGACTTTAATTGTAGACCCTTCCCTTGTATTTTCAAAATATATTTTTTAGCTCTCATGAATACTTTTCTTCCAACATTAATTTCTTCAGTTTGTATGCCTTTACTTTTTGAATCCTCTAATACCCTAACTATACATATATATTTAGAAAACTTGATGACTCACCTTGTCATCTTGCTACTGAAATATTTAATGAATATTATTAAAAGTTAATTTAAAATTATTTATAAATAAACATGCACGTAATTTTTGAAAAAGAGAAGTAGAACGAAAAAAAACATACTTAAAATAAAATTCAACATTAGATCATCGTTATAATAGAAAAATAAAAAATTTATTTTTGACCAATAATTTGATAGTCGACAAGTAATTTAATGCTAACTCAATGCTACGTCAACGAATCTTTGTACAGGTGTCTGCAACTAACTTTAGTTGGGTTAAATTCATGATTAGTTCATTTTGTTGGGTTTAATTTGTTGTATTGTTTTTTTTTTTTTTAGCTAAATAATCTTTTGGGTTTATTTAGCATTAGAAAGCGCACCGGATTGGTAGTTGAGAAGCGTTTAGATGTAGAGTATACAACAAAAACAGAAGAGAAGATGAATTTCAACAACAACAACTACCTTCTGTGCTAGGCATTCGGTTACGGATGGAAACGGAGGAACGGCGAGCGGCAAACGGTAGCAGCAGCAGCTGAATGCATTGGTGACAGCCGATGCCACCGTCCGGCAGGTGGCGCTCTCATATACGAAAATGTATCTGACGGATTTAATGGGTGTGTGTGGGTGCAAAATAATGCGACTTCAGGGTGTTGTTTTAGCTTTTTTTGTTGTTTCTTGTTTGTTCTTTGTTTTTTTTTTTGAGATTTTCATTATATTTTATGTGTGTGCAATGAGCTGTTGTGCCTAAAATAAAAATGAAATCATTTACTTGACGAAACTAGAATGGTTTTTAATAACTTCGTGACTTACCGGATACGAGCACAAACAACAACAAAATATCATGTCACAACAATAAAAAATATATATATATTTTTTTAAAAATCAAAACGAATGCGTCCAAAAATGAAACGACACCGTAAATTTTGATTTAAATCAAATAAACAACACTTTTGCGACCAAATTTAAAAACAACTGTTGCCGAAATTGAACAAATGTCAAAATAAACGAACCGACATTGATCTTAAAATACGTATATATATATATATATATATATATATATATATATATATATATATATCTACTTAAGTAGGCGATTAAGGAATTATTGAGTAAACTGACAGCTGTTGGCCTGTGCAAGCAAATTTGGCATGGAAAAACCCACTCGAAATTGTGCGCAGTGTAACCAAAAGCTCGCTCAGCCTTAACCATATGACTCTTAGCTTAATAAAAGCTTGCTCGGCAGCTGCAACGCTCTTTTAGTTGGCAAGCAAAGGGCCTCGAGCTGTCGTCAACCCCCGCTCCAGCTGCTCTTTATCAGCTGATTCACTTGCAGCTGCCAAAGGTCGTGCCACAAAAGCGGCACATGCTCAATGAGGCGTTAAAATTTCGATTGACCTAAGGCTGTGCTTTGTATGCAACAAGCTTATGAATGGCAGGGCATGGTGTGGCAAATAGTGGGCATTCGGGTTGGGGGAATCGGTGGCACTCGAGAAACGGAAACCCGTTCATGCATCGCCGCCAATGCCAAAGTGAACGCCACATTTGTTGCAGCCGGCATATGGCGAGATGCGAAAGCAATGGACGACTCGCAGAGACCGGCAAAAATCAGCGAATGCAATGCCAACACCCAAAACAAGTTATGCGGCAAATCTGAAGAAGCGTGTGTATCTGCTAGATACTTATATACATATAGATACATATGTATGTATTTGGCAGATATGCGTTGTGTGTATAGCACCAAGGAGCAGGCCACTAAAAATAGCCAGAAAATGTGAAATGAAATTGTAGCGCGACAAGCAATCGCTGCTGCTTGCTGCTTGCTGCATGCAGCGCACACACACAGATACACGATCGCAGAACACAGATACAGATACATTTTTAGAAATTCAATCAGAGAACGCAGCAAGGGAGCTGCCAAACTGGAGAAGCAGAGCCTTATGATTTATGCGGGCATCACATACAGATACAGATACAGATACAGATACAGAAACAGCTACAGATACAAATACATATACATATTATATACGTATTGGCATTTTTTTAATTTTCTGCTTGCCGTTGTGGGCGTTGGGGGCTGTGGAAAAGTTTGTTCTCGAAAATTGTGAAATGCCACTAAACATTTTTAGCGCCTGTCGCCAGCCATAAATGTATATATACATATTTAAGAGTATATATATATATAAGTGCTGTCTATAAATAACCGATCTACATCTATAACTAATGCCTGCTCTTTGCGTACATTTAGAATATGATTATATTCATTTGATTCATGCATTTCAAACATGACGCGTGTGAAACTGCCTGGAAAAATGCAGCTTTAATGAGCTAGGGAATGGGAATGGGCATAGGGGCATTCAATCATTAAGATGCGGAAATTCCTATTAGGCTGATAAGATGAATATGCGAGTGCTGCCTGGCGCTAGTTTCTAGTCTTAACAGTTATAATTAGGTCACGACTTGCAGCAATCAATGGGCTGACGACAATTGACAAGCGACAACAAGGCTGGCACTGACCTTCACCACGCGCTCTCTTCAATAATTTGCCCACTCTCTATGCTAACCTTTGCCTAGCATTGCGATACAACAAAAACGCATGTGCAGCTGTCAAGCCTGTGCTTACGCTCTCAGGCAATGCAATTCCGGCGCATATCAGCATAGCTGTGCTTACGCTCTCAATCACTCTCTCACTCTCTCGCTCTCTTAGGCTCTTAAAGCTTGGCTCTCTGACGGCGCCAAAGCTCACGTAACCAGTGTGCACGTTATCAGTGCGTCAACATTTGCCTAAGGCAATTTCGCGCATACTTTTCATAAATAAACAACTGACGTATGTGTGCCTGTGTTTTTATACACGTTTTGTCTTCTTCTAATGCACTATTTATTCGAAATCAAAAGAAATCTTAATGCTCTGCATGCATGCACACACACACGCACACGATTACATTCTCATGCATACACGCACAGGCATGGCTAGCGGCAGCGGCTAGGCAAATGCTATTGAAGGTCAGTAAAGGTCGTCGCCGCATTTTGCTGGCCCCAAAACACATGTATTTGACAATCTCCGTATAACAGGTACATATGAAATATATAAAATCTATAGGTATTTTTGCATAAATGCGGCGCTATGAAATATGAGAATGCAATTTATTTGCGGCTTTTATTAATTGCGATAAAAAGAAACAGAGAAGAGCTGCTGCAGTCGCACTCGCAGTCGCAGTCGCAATCGCAAAGGGAAGGCCCAGCGACTCTCAACTTGGATATGATAGGCAGTAGCCATGCATAATACACACGCACACACACACGCACAGACTTTCATTTATCTCTTTTTTTTATATTTTTTTATCTGTGGTCACTTCTTTTGCCGCTTCTTTGGCGGCAACTGCTGTTGTTGCTGGAAAAACTTACTGCTCATTTTGTATTTGTTTTTTTTTTTTTCTTTTTGTTTGTTAGTTAACTATTGTAAACACTGCAAAAACACGCGGAGCGAGTCCTTCGCGTTTTATTGCTTTCCGGGGGATGAAATTGGTCTTGGTGGTGGCGGTGGGTGGGGCGTGCCCGTTGAGCTTTCACACAGAGTGACGAGAGCGAGTCGATATTCTAAGTTGCCTGACGGAGGGTTCTGCGCTTGGCTGTTCTGCCTACCACGAGCGACGACGATAAACTGAATGTTGCGAGCAAGCGAAAACTGTGGACAACGACGACGCAGGCGACGGCAACGCCAACGTCGATGCCGTGGGCAATATGTGTGGGGGCACTGTCGCAGTCGCAGTCGGTAAGTTGTCGCCGCCGTCAAGCAGCAACCACAAAACTGTTACGGGAGACGAGGGCATTGAGAAGTCGACGAGGAAGGCGCCAAAAGTGAATTTTGCATTATACATATGCTCGCTTGAATTTCATTTCTTCTGCTTCAAACTTATTCGCCGGCAATCTGTGCGCACTGCGCACCGGTGCTCAAGAGAGAGTGAGAGCGAGAGACCGCGCGTTAAAGGTGCGAATATATACAAAGACAAACAGTAAATTTCAATTCGTGCTCGCTCTTTTTACAAACTCTCTTTACTTATTAAGAGCGCCAGCTTTTTAAGAGCGCAAAGCCCACAGGCTGCCAACGCATTCAAACTTCCACTTGTTGCATTAGTAAAGGCCTTCGGAAGTACACCTGTAAAAGGTGTAAACAATTTACAGTTTTATTATTTGATAAGCTTATCGACTGCCGCTATCAAGGCAATTGTAAATAATAATAAAGTATTTTCGCACTGATCTTCTGACCTGCCCACAGACATGTTTTTTCTTGTTTACTTCTGAGCTACTCTCAATAACTACCCAAACCCAACATAAGATAGCAGAAAATATTACAGCTTAGGTATACACAAATAAAAACTTATCAGTTCAAAATAAACCGTTGTCAAGTAGGTAGCAAAAATGTTTGATCTCTTTATGACCCATATATCTTAATTTCAAATGTCCCTGGGCAAACTTTAAGCAGGATAAAGTAAGAGCACAAGTGCGTTTACTAATTGGTTTAAACTAAACATGTCCCAAATTCTGAGAAGACCCCATCACCTGTATATGCCGATTAAGCTGATCCTAGCGATTATAGCTATAGCTATAGCTATTGAAAATCTGGAAGATATAGCTATTTATCTAAAACTGAAAGCAAAACGCGTCCTTATTTTAAAGGACTCGACAGGACATACCAGCGCAAAAAGCAGAATAATTGATTGGCATTCAAGCTAGGATACGTTGATAACAAGGCAAAAATCCTTAAGGAATTATCGAATTAAGAGTTTTGTCTTCTTAATTCCTACGCACAAAAGTATGCAACAAACATTAGGAAGTATACATTTTAGGTGCGTCGCAAGAGTATGCAATCATTTTGTGCATTTAATAATTATTAAATGACGGCCCGCAAGTTAGCTACGAAATTAAATTCATGTTTGCCAACAAAATTAAGAATTTAATTTCCCATGCCAAAAGGACAATTTGATCAAAATATTTAAAAATGATATCAATAAAAAAAAACAACAAAAATAAATCAAAAATATGTTGGTTTGGCATATGTTAATTATCATTTTTACTTCAAATAATTGTCATCTTAGTAAACACATACATATCTTGGAGGGTTGGCTCAGGTTGAGTGTAATATCATAAAGATATATATATGATGAACACAAAGTCTGCGTAAGTAGAAGAATTTTTAAGTCGACGAAACGAACAATTCAAAGCTTGAGCTAAAGTTTTTGGTACTCGTAGTTGGTATATGGCATTCGATAGATAGTCTGTAGATTTTCTAAGCATACATACTAGAACTAGGAGCTAGGCTAATAAATAACTGGTCTTAGAACTAGGCGCTATACATATAAAATATAATTTAATTGTGTTTAGGTCTATGGTCATGCTGAGGCAGTATCACAGTGCAGGGGCTCGTCCTCCAGCCGATTGTTGATTGTGTTTCGCGGCGATATCACAAAGCGTTTGCGATTCTGTATCGATTGGCTGAGGCGTCGGTTGGCGCGCTTTTTGCGCCATCTGTGTATGCAGTAGCAGAACACTGCAAAGGTAAAAAACATGCCACATCATGTTGCACGAAATCGACTCTCATTTGTTTGACTTACCCAGCAGCACCAAAATAACGCCACCAAAACAGCCGGCGGCAAAAAGCCAGAGGCTGCGCGTCTCGGCCAGCTCCGCGCTGTCCACACAACTGCGGAATGTCGGCGAGTCCACGGTGCGATTGTAGGGCAGTGGACACGAGTCGCTGTCTAGCGCCTCTGCGGAATGGAAATCGAAATTGGAAACTTGGTCAGATGCCAAAATTAGCAGCAGTCGCAGCTGCTGCAACTGCATCTTCTGCTTACCCATGCAAACGGGCACGAATTTCGGATTGGCGCCCATCGTCATGAGGTGATTGGTCACCTGCTGACAGACGCAGGCGTTGATTTGAGTTCGTGTCAGATCGATGACTTTCAGATGGCACAAATTTGCCAGTTTGTCAATGTTAAAGTAGCTCAACGGATTCGCCGAGGCGTTCAGCTGCCAAAGATCTGCAAAAAAGAAGAATCTCTTGTATATTTCAGCTATATCACAAGATATCTCTATGCTATCTTCCCATGCTCCTGTTACAGTTGACTATTGCCTGGGGTAACTATAATTTTAATCAAATGAATCATGTTTTGGTTATCTGTCAGCCAGTTACATATTCAAATTCATCATGAAGCTAAACTTTAGCGTTGCCACCTGGTAAAAGTCTTAGCATATGGCAACACTTACTACACACAGCTTTCTATAAAGATTTGAAGAGCTAGGATCGCTTACTCATAAATAATATACAGATTGTCTATAAAAATTATAAGGCAGTTAATCGTAGCTTTGCCATCATGCAAATTTTTAATATCTGGCATCCCTGAGCATTTATTCCATACAAAGATCAGCCTGTTATAACTATATGAAATTGTTCCTTCAACTACTTGGCAAGGCGTTGCCAACTCAACGCAACAGCGTTGCCACCTCGTCTTAGCTGCTTGTAAACTAACGTGAGCTTTGACACGAACATTAAATAAGAGACTTACTCGGCAACACTCCCAGATCGGGAATATCATGCAGCTCACAATTGGCCACATTCAGGTATTCCAGCGGCGCACGAATGGGCTTCTCTAGCGTTTCGAGCTCTTGATGCAGCTCCCTCAGATCATTGCTGTCTATGTAGAGATTGCGCAGCCTAGGCAGCGAGAACAGCTCCATGGGAATCGTGGTGAGCCCATTATTCGATAGATCAACTTCCTGTGCATCGATCAATGGATTAGTTAGTCACTCGCAAATCGTAATTGCCGACATTAATTAGATATTTGTTGCTTACCTGCAGTGCGGTGAGCGGTGCAAATGTGCCCGGCTCCACCGATAAGATCATGTTCTCATAGAGCATTAAAAACTTAATATCGGTATACCTCTGGAACGAGCCACTTCTCAGCTTCCTAATGCGATTGTACGATAAGTCCAGTACCTGTACAAATTATGACTTTAATTCTCGCTTTTTAATTGTCAAAAGAAATTGCCAACTCATGCGAGCTATAGCAACTGCTTACATTATATCTGGAGAGTGTAAGCACAGACAGTTCGCAAATTTGGTATATAAATTAGATTTGCGATTCACCCGAAGATAAGCTTAACGCAGTAGACAAATCGTGAACTTAAGCTAGTATTACGCTTTTTATAAAACCTGTCATAGATACACTAGAATATAAGTTTCTTAACTGGGGTTGGGGGCTGCTCTCATGCAAATACATATCTGCATATTCATGTCGCATATATTCCGGCATATTTATGCCATGCTACAAGTGAACTTCTTTATGCTTTAATTAAGCTCAATTGAGGCTGGCTACTGTGTGTGTGTGTGTGAAAGTGTGTGTGTGTGAGTGTGTGACTGGGGTCTGTAACTGTGACTGGGGATACACGAGACACGAATTAAGTTTGGGGTCATGCGATTTTTATTGGCTCAAATTGACCTCTTATGGCAGGTCGGATAGCTGCTGCCGTCGGCCAATTGGTGTCAGCTACTCACCTCGACGGACGTCTTTAGGTTTTGGGGCACCTCCTTGAGGTCCATGTTGTAGCAGCGTATGCGCATGAGCTTCTCGATGCGCCCGTACGAGCACCTGCGCTCGTCTTGGGGCGCAAAGCCAAAGGCCAGCATCGCATTCACAACGGATATGAAGACAATATTCAGCAGCAGGCAACGCAGCTCCATGCTGTAAATAGATTGAATATAGATTAGATGGGAAAACAAATATTGACCACCAACATTGAGGCATCAATGGCGCCTATTAAATCTTTGCTGCTCTATTCCCATTGTGCTGTTTATTTCCCCGGGCTGTCTATCAAAATAATAAATAAAACGAAATTTAAATGTGCACACTGCCGCACCTGACCCAAAAACAATTATTTTCGAATTAACAAATTACAAGATCAATGCCGCGCCATTGAGGATCAGCCTCCATGCTCGATGCGTTCAATCAACTGGAACTGCGCCGCCTGGGTGGGCGTTTAGTGCGTTCGCTGTGGGCGTGGCAATAAATTGAATTAGTTGTGAACTATGTAAAGCCACAAAACATTGTTTGAGCAGGGCACGAAACGTGGATCAATGCGGCGTATGAGTGATGTTTGCTTTGTGCTGAGCGCATATTACGTATACGACCTGTTGTTGTTTGGCTTTCACTCAGTGTCAAGGGGTTGGCAGCCCCATTGTGCGCACATCAAGCTGTAGTTATAATCGAAAGAGTCGAGCATTTTTGACTGGCTGCAGCCGGTTAAAAGAGGTGTTTTTCTTTTTGTTCTAACATCTCAAAAAAAAAACACAAGCATAAAAATTATTCAGGGCATAAAAATGCTGATTAACAACTGGGTGGGATGAGTAGTGGCAAGTCGTGCCGGAAATAATTCACAATGTGCAATATTTGTGCTCTTCTTCAAGCTGTATACGTCAATAGAAACCACCTGCTAAATATAACGCGAGAACTGACTCACTCGCTGCCACTCGAACTTAAAATGAGTCTAAGTTGAATAGCCCTAGTCTTTGGGGGCTTCTTTTGCCTATTATCTTATCGCTGTGCCTTCCCAAATTTATTATATATCTCCCTTGATACAACATCAAACAGAAGGCGAGCTGCGCACAATAAATCATGGAGGAATCGTAAGGCCAAAATATCTTTTATGGAACGTGTCAAAACACCAACAAAAAGTGCTGCCAAAATCCAAAAAAAAAAACAAGATATATTGAACGAATGTAAATTGATTGAATGCCAAAAGCCACAAACAACAAGAATTCTCGGGTCTACACATGGAAGATCTTTCTGTAGCTCAGGATAATCTGATGCCATTTGCCAGAAATGGTTTTCCAAAGATATTATATATCCGAGCACATATTTTGCACGTTTGCCAATTGTTTTTGCGGCTGTCACGCCCCATTCAAGTGCAGTCGGCAAAGTCATGTTTCCCCCTCTGTTCTTCTTCTTCGTCTTGCACTTCCTCGACTTGTGCCAAGCTGTTTCATTTGTTGCATTTCATCTGGACAATGCACGTGCCAATTACGAGCTTGTGGAAAACAGTTGCGTGATTGCACAAACCTTTGTTTATGAATAATTTGTTGTCCGAATTATAAACGTACCTTTTCCTAAACATATACAATTTCATTAAATAATATCAGGTTGCGATACAGCTCCCGAAGGCGTTCGAATATTTCTGTGACATTCAAGATAATTACAATGCGTTTTTTTCCTCTAATCTCAAGTTCAGTTTACAGCAAAATAAATAAATCGCAAAATATGTCAGCGTTGTTAATTGTTGTTAAAATCGGTGCCAGATTTTGTATAGGATATCTTCTAGTCCAGCACTTTAAGTTTGATTTAAGGCATCCTTAATGCCTTATCATAGGAAAAGCTACCCACTTAGCCTATTTGCCCAGAACTTAACGTGGCCGAATGATTGATGGCTCGGGGCACTCGGAATTCGTATTTGAGCACAATAAAACATATGCCAAAGCCAATTCGAGTCGCAGCTATAATGGATGGCTTTAATGCCGTCATATACCGATAAGTCCACCAAGGCGGTAAAACCAATCAATAATTTATGTCGAAATAAATGTATCACACGATTTCCCAGTATTGGCCAAGTAACGCAACGGATGATTCGCTTCACTTGGTAAAAGAAATTCAGATATTTGGACTATGTCCAGAAATCTAACTGCTCCAATTGACAAAGAGTTGAGGAAGATGCGTGCACAGTGCTGGCAAAAAGTATGCCTCTCTTGACTTAAGCAACTTTTCAAAAAGGCCTCATAGGGATACCCATGATAATTTAAATGTACGGAAGCGAAAGATCAAATGCGGCCATAGTTAATCTAAAATTAAATGTCAGTTCGTTTTGATATATATATATAAGTATAGGCAATATCTTAAGGTTTAGAAAAATATGTGCCACGAAAAAAGGGACATAAAGAAGAGTTGAATAATAATACAACTTTTAATAGTAGGAAATTTACTGAACGGGTAGGCGCACTGCTGTCGCGCACTGTGCGATGTGCCTGTACCTCTGTCATTAGAGATGCCTGCCGAATCGGCAAAAAAAAATTTTTAAAAATATATAAAAAAAATTTAAGTGATTTCCACACATTTACACACAGAGATGCGACCGCAACAATGAGTTCTGGCTATAAATACTATTCGTATAAGCCATATGCAAGTTGGTTTTTTGAACAAAAATTCAAATTAAATTTAAAAATGTTAAGCAGCGGAAAGACAACGGGCCAACTGCAAACTTATGGCGCACACAAACGTTCAAAATTGTTGTATTCAATTCAGCTTAAAAACCATTTTATTTATTTAATTTTTTTTTTATATTAGTATCGGGTTGAGGGGTGGCTGGGTGTTGATGCGGTATTGCCGACATTTGTTGGGCTTAAATTCAATAAAATTGGCAATAAAAAGGGCTAATGCTCGACAGGCTATACGGCTACAAACGAACATTTTCCATAGCCATAAAAACAGATCAGACACAGGCCTCCAAATGGGGCACATACATTCGCGCCTTATGCTCTGAGGTGGGGCATGGCATAGAAATGAAAATGAATATGGAAATGGAAATGAAAATGGAAATGCTTAAATTGAAATCAAAATTCGAATTTATGCATTCCACTTTGGCCGCATTTGTACAATATTTATCTATATTTATGGGGCTCAATCAGGAGTCCCAAAAAAAAAAAAAAACGAAACTCGACAAAAATACGGGAATTTTATAACGAGGGGGTGTAGAAGATACGTCAGCCAATGGATTACGGCCTGGCTAATGATAAATATGTATGGAATATTATTTATCTTCGCATAACCCAAGCAGATGTTAAGCAAGCGATTATGGGATCAGTAAAAATCAGAACTATACTAAAATATATGTATAAAAAAAAAAACACAAATTCTAAAGCTTATAAAACAAGAAGAAGGAAACTTTAAATTAGTTTCAAATATTTTAATAACATTCTAAACATTTGTGAATGGATTTATGTGCTCTTCTGATACCCCTTGTCACACTTTGTGGGCGTTGCACGCTGGCTATGTATGTATATATGTGTGTTTGTGTGTGTGTGTGTAGCCCCCCCTCAACAGGTGTGCAGTTTGGGGGCCTCCGCTCGGAAGATTTATTCTCATTTTTCTTTACGCAGACTCGTATGATAAAGATTTATTTGTTTAGACTTTATGTGTTGAAACAATAAAAGAGGGGCACATATGCGCATAGGGGCCTTACGCCTTTGGCTGCCTCAGATATTATTTGTTTTCTTAACCGCCAAAACACTTGAACGTAACTGAATCTAATCGGAGGACTCAAGTGCACAACGTACACATATAACATGTTGGTTTTATCAGCGTAATGAAACATTTCTGTTTTTTATGTTGAGTGGGCTGCCTTTGGAGTCATTTGCCCCGTAAAAAAGCGGGAAACATCGATGACGAAAATAACGTCAAAGTCGAAGTTAAGGCAACACGAAATTAATTGAAAGCAACAACAACAAATGTAATAAAAACGTTGCCCATTTATTTCAATTAAACACAATCAAGAATACATTTTTTCCCCAGAGACGCTACGAAAAAAATGCGCTGCTTCAGCAGAAAAGCTGACCATTGGCATTCGCAATGGGGCCAATTGAAGAACTTACAAAAAATGATATATACATATATGATGTGTAAAGATTAAAGAAGTTTCCGAAACTTAAGTTAGAAGAAGTCAGCAAAAACGCAGCAATTAATTAATGAAATTCCTCGAACTAATCAGATCGGGTTTTCTCAGGAATTAAAAAAGTAAAGAACTTTAATCAGATGTGTTATTATCAGGAAATTGAAAATGTTTACACACATCTTCAATAAAGAACGATAACTAGAACCCTCTATTAAAGCACGTACCTGAAGAACTAACTACAAAACTAAATTCATTTGGCCTAGGATATGGATTTATGTAGGACCATTATTATGGATGCTTCCAAAAAGCGACTCTGTATGATGTTTATGATCTGCTAAAAATGTAGTCCAAAAGAAGTAGAACCAAGGCAAGCCAGATGGAGTACGCATATCACAAATATCTTAGCTTTGACAACTAGTTTTAAATATATATCACTCACAGAAGTAAAGGAAAAAGAGATCAAGAATTTCAGATAAAGAGGAACAATGTCTTAGAACTTTTTGGGCCAGTCATTTATGGAGGGAATTAAGAAAATTATAGTCTTAATTTCCTTTGGCGTAACACAATTTCGTTGTCGCAACGTTTAAGAACAACAATTCTTTAGATTGGACCTTATCGTCCATTTGTTTCGATTATTGCCCTACAAATTGCTTTTTATTTATTACTCCTTGTAGAACGCAATACGCTCTATGCAACACGTACCAGGTGTGTCCTATGCTGCTTTACAGCACTTAATAAAAGTGTAGTCAAGTGTGATTAAAAACACAGCCAGTTGTTGTTATAAACGATTATTAAAAGAAATCTCACGGTTACAAAGTGCTTTATATTTCGTATAGCTTTGTAAGTCTATCAAATCAAATCAAATCTTATCTTTCTGGGCTTATTCTTGCCTTCTCTAAATATAAGATTTCCAGTCTACAAAATGCAATTGTATATTACTCGCATTTGACATTAAATCGTTTTTTGAAACCACCCGACTCTACTCTCAATTCCCAGCAGTTCGCGGAGAATTGTCCGCCTCTTCGCTCAATTGAAATCAATTTAACTGTTTTTATCTCATTATGCTGTGGAGAGTACTTGAGGTCAAAGCGCATATAACTAACTAGAAACTTCAAGTCGATTCTGAATATTTCATATTTAATATTCTGTTATACTATAATATTTGTATTTTACTGGTGATAACCCAAATAACCCTGATAAGGCCTCAAATTGAGCGTTTGCGTCTTACCTCTTAGGTAATCCAGTATATTTTAGATATTTCCATATAAAGTTCGTTATCCTTAAGTTCAACACATTGTCCGGCAGAGCACATTTTAATTATTCAGATATCAGTTCGATATGCTTGATAAATTCCATTTTTTGTGATCGAATTGAGACACTGCACAAAAAATATATTTTCGTTACACAGAAATTTCAGTCGTATTTCAATTAACACGAATTTTTGTTGCTTCTATTTTTTTGTGTGCTTTGTTTTGCCCACCGACGGAACCGATCGCAACGACCACCGGAACCGACCCGTTCAATTCAACCGCAGACTGGGAATTGAAGCGATCGCCGAGACAGCGCAGATCGCCCGTTTGCTCGGTTTGCCTTTCGGTTCCGAAAAACCGAAACTCTGAAAACGTTGATAAAGCACCGACGGGCGACGGACGCGGCGACAATGCAGCCCGCTTGTGGAAGAAGGGGAGGGAGAGTGGCAGGGAGGGAGAAGAGGAAGGGCGGCAATAGGTGGGCTGCAAGCGTTGAAAATTTCTTGAGTGAAATATGAAAATATGGAAATTTCAAGAGCGTAAAACTCGATGTCTGCTCTCTCTCTCTCTCTGCTCTCTCTCTCTCATTCTCTCTCTGCTGCACTCGCTGCTGCTGATAACAATGGCAACTGATATACATATGCCCATATATAAGTGCATGCAGCCCACTGTGCCTGGGGCTGAATTGAATTTGCTCTGTTTGTGGGCCTCTGATTTCGACAGCTTTATTTAGTATTTGTGTGCAGCTCAATTTCAGCTTCAATTAGCAGTTGATAGCTAACAAATTGATCGGATCGATGACGATGTCACCCAGCAGCATTTTCGATTTAATCAATCTTTCACGTCTTGTGCGCTTCCGACTCCAAAACTGCCACAAGTTACAGTTCTAGAGAAGAGACACAAACAGACGTCAGCTGTGATAAGAATGGAACGTCAGCTTATGCAATCACATTTCTTATCAACAATGTGCTATTTCATTAAGGCCTTTAAAAATTAAAAAAAAAAAACAATTTTCCAACTGACAGTTGTCAAACAAAAGTCAATTATGAAAGTCTTTTCTGCTATCAGAAGTGTTCTTGAGGCACAAATGACAACGGCCTGATTTTTAGGGTTTTATTAAAAGAGTTATTTGTTACGAAAATGTCTTCAACTTGGCAATACAGTGATCACTCGCAAGAACTTACCCAACTTGTAGCCAATATTTACAATTGGACGCTTTGCATTATTAATATTTCATTTTAATTGACTTCAAAATTATTTGTATATATATTCCAGATATTATAAGTTGAAATCTCTTTAAACAATCCCAAGAGCCCAAATGTTTTGCTTTGCGAGCATTCACTGTATTAAACGACTTGTTAATTTTCAAAAACTAAACTAGAAACGCAGAAGTCTGCTGATAAACCCCCAAGAAAACAGTTGTTAATGCTGTTATACTATCTTAATTCGATTTCTGTCGGGCATTTCCATTAGCCTGACAGCTACCTGAGCTCAGGTAGCTGCTGATTATAAGCACAGGTAAATGCAAATATCGCAAACACATCCAAAATGTAAACAGAAATCCTTTTGCATTCGCTTGTGGTTTTTCTTAGTTACCTTTTTATTTATTTTTTTTTGTTTACAACATGAAAAAGAAATGGTAGAAAAATATGACATTATGTTGTTTTTTACAGGTTTTCCTCATTTACATATCAAAACCTATATTCCATTAGTTTTTAGTCTTTGCTTCAAATTTAATTGATTTTTTTTTGTTTCAAAAATGTTTTTTGTTTTTGTTGCTGCTGAATATTAGTTAATTGAATGTAAAGTATATGATAAAAAATTAAATTTGTTTTTGTTTTTCATTCAGTTGGATTAATTGAGCAAATAAAAGTCACAAACTTTGAAAATTAAGATATAAGTAAAAAGAAGAGTGAGTAAATCGTAAAACAAAAAATCATAATAAATAAACCCGCCCATAAATCTTTTTGTTAACACACAGCCCTTCTCTAGAGGGTCTTTTGATTGTATAAAATTGCTTTAAAAGTGTGTTTGTGTGTGTGTGTGTGTTGGTGTTTGTTATAATTGAGCAATAATGCGTTTCTTTGCATTTGCAACACCTTTCGTTAGTTTGATTTGCATTTAAATATTTTCACAATTTTTTTTTTCTTATCTGCATCCTTTTCGTTTTTGTATGCAGTTTTTTTTTTTAAGTTTTTCGTTTTTTTTGTTCGTTTTCTTTTATATATATATAAATGTGTTCGTTTTTTTTGTTTGTTTTTTCTTTTCTTTTTATAATTAATTAATAAGAAAATTATAAATGAGCTTCCAGTTTGGTTTTCCATGAAAAATCAATGAAGCTTCAGGCTATAAGCATATAGCCACAAAATCAAGAGCTTTCAAAATTCTGTTGTTTGAATAAGTTTAACTTGTTCCAACTAAATTAGGTAATACAACGGATATTTTAGCCAAAACTAATCACAATCTTTTGCATTCATATTGCAAATATGCTTGAGTGTGTGTGTGTGTATATAAAGAGTGTGTAAGTGTGTGTGTGTATGGGTGCTTATAGCATCTCCAAACATTTCGTATGCCTCTCAATTGACTTTGCTGACGGCTTGCTTGACGGATGTGTTTTGGGGATTCGTTCCACGTGAGGATCATCTATGGCTGGTTCTGCAGACGCAGCTGCTCGCTTATGTTTGTATTCTGGTAGAATAGACGCACGACGTGCGTGTTGCGCTCCTCCTTTGTGGCCAGTATCTCCAGCTGGAATGTCTCGGAGAAGCGCGTATCGATGAATGCGCCCAGAGCGGCCACATCGCACTTGGCTATGGTGGCGCTCTCCAGTTCGCAGTGTTTGCTGTAGCGCGGCGCCTTGGCCAGCTCCTCGGGCAGCTGGCGGAACTGATCGGTCACCGCATTGTTGCCAAAATCTATAAAGTGCACCTCGCACTTGCCAGCGTCCAGCAGCTTGACTATCTCGGCACGATAGAAGACCTCATCCTCGGGGAATTTGGCCACGCACAGTGCGCCCACCTGCAGCTCCGTAAATATTTCAAAGTTTTGCTCGGCATCGAGCATTTTGTCGGTCATTTGCTCCAGAGCCGGCACATCCTGTTCCATTTGCACATAGAAAGATTTCGCATTGTCGTACTGCACCACAATGCAATTGTACAGCTCCACCTCGAGCGGCTGCTGCACGCCAGCCACAGTGCTGGCCAGCTCCTGAGCAAAGTCCTTGTAGTTGATGCGCAGCTGCACAGCCTGCAGCTCCTTTGTGTCCTCATTAGGCTCGTTGACCAGCTCGTAGACCTCGCCAAAATGCTGCTCCAGCAGCGCTGTGAAAGCCTCCTCCAGCTTGGCCTCGGGCACATCCTGTGGTATCTCGCTTAGCTGGCAGTGCAGCGCCAGCGGCGGTATCTGCCAAATTAGATCGGGCAGCAGATACACCTGTGAAGTGATCAGGCTGCCGCCGTAATCAATGAGAAACACCTCACAGCCCTTGTCCTCGGCCAGCAACTGCTTGATGCAGCAGCGATAGTAGCAATCGTCCTCTTGGGAATAGCACACGCCATTCAGTTGCTCGGCGGGACTTGTCAGCGGCTGCAGCTGCTCACTGGACACGCCCTGAAGCGTCTTGACAATGAGATCTAGCTGAGCGGAGTTCTTCTTGAGCTGCACATAGAAACTCTTGGGTGAGCTGCCGTGCGAAATGATGCACTCTTTGTTGTTCGCCTGCGCCTGGGGCTTCAGCAGTTCCGCCTCCAGCAGCTTTTGGAGCTGCTCGTGTATGTTTAGAGCTTGTTTATCCATGGTCTTTAGCCGGACCACCGGTGGTTGCGCCGACTTGTTGACAAACTCCACGGCCACCTCGCCGTTGCAGCTGTCGATGAGCGCGTCCAGCGCCTCGCGCGACTCCTTGGGATATTTGATAAAGTTGGCACAGGATTCCAGTGCATGCAGCTCCGCTAGAGGCTTCAGCTGCGCCAGCTCCGCGGGCAACTCAAATAGCTTGTCGACCAGTGCCTGATTGCCAAAGTCTATGAAGAGAACGCGATACTGCAGCAACTGCTTGGCCGGCAGCTGTTCCAGGATGCGCGCGCGGTAGAACTCGTTGTCATCGGCAAACTGCGCCACGCACAGCTCGCCCACTTGGGCAACTTGTTGCTTGGGCTGCAGTTTGGAACTCTCACCGTTCAGCAGCTCGCTGGTGTTGTCTACGTATACGTTGTCCGCCTCGAATTGTAAGTAGAAGCTCGAGGGGCTATTCACATGGGTGACAATGGCCATGACGTTGGCTGAGCCCGACTCGGTCTCGGATTTTTCGTCAATCTGGGGTTGCTCCTGCGGCTTGGGCTGCTTGCGCTTGCACAGCGGCAACAATTGATCCAATACGTTATCCTCATCCAGCATCAGGTGTATGATGATATTCTCAAGTCCCGGTTTCAGCAGCTGTGTGGTGAAAACCAGCTCACCCTCGCCCGTAAGCTCGGCAAACTTGGCTTCCGCCTCCTGGGACCAGCCCACATAATCTTCCGGTAGCTGCAGAGCGCAGCGCTTCGACAAACTAGGCGCACTGGCAATTTGCTCCGACAGCAACAGGCACTTGGATGTGGAGGAAGTGTTGCCATAATCAATAAATCGAACCTCGTAGCGTGCATCGGGCAGCTGACGCAACAGCTCGGCGCGATAGAAGAGTCCATCATCGTCGAAGAGAGCTGCCACAATGCTGCCCTTCTCGAAACGCTGCAGCGGCTCCAACTGCTGCTCGGCATCGCCCAGATATAGTTCGATTAGCTCCAGTGCCTTGGAGTCGCATTCCAGCTGTATATAGAAGTCAGCGATGCTGTTCACGTGCGAGATGTAGCAGCTACTGCCGCTGCTGACATAGTCCAGAGGCTTGGCAAAGCCATCGCTGACAAGTTTCTTGGCCACGTCGATGCCTTCGATAAACAAGTTGACGTAGCTGAGCGTGTAGCAGTCACCTTGCGTTAAGTATTCATAGTGCAGGATCTTCTCGTAGGAATCGTTAAATATGCCATTGGCTGCATCTGCCCAGTCCAGTTTGCCATTGGGCGCAATGGGCAGCGCGAAGGGCAAACAGAAGGGTTCCAATTGTGAGCACATGCTTTGCTTAATCTCTTTGGCGTCCGAGACGCAATCGGTGTTGCCAAAATCTATAAACTGCAGCACCATCAGCTCGGCATCGAGTATTTTGGCGCGATACCAGGACTTGTCCATGGAGTACATCGATATGCAATCGGCGCCGTTTACTATTTCCAAAAGTTGCGGCAACGATGGGGAAACAATTTGCAGATTTTCTGTCAGACGCTTAAGTTTGGGCACCGCATCTAGGGGATGCACATAGAAATGAGCAGGATTATCGCAGTGACTCAGCACGGCTCTTTCCATGTCTTTGTACGGATCAGGTGTGGGTGTCGGTGTGGTTATGGGAACTATAGTGATGGGTGGAGGAGTGACTGCGGGCGCAATTTCCTCGCTTACCGGAGCTGTTGGCGGCTCCACTGCTTCCACTGGCTCTGGAACAGTTGCTATAGGCGTTGGTTCTATTGTCTTCACTTCAGCTTTGGAAGCAGCTGGAACAGGAGCAGCAGCAGCTACTGGTGCTGCCTGCTCCACTTGCTTATTGCGCTTATTTGATTCCTTAGGCTCTTTCGGCTCCTTCTTGGCCTTGGGTGAGCTGTTCGCCGAGTTGGATTTGCTTTTGCGCTGCTGCAATTCCTCATCATCATCGGTGGTTAGGTCTACGCATTCAATGTACTCGTATATGTGTGGTTTCTCCTTGTCCAGCTGCTTGCGCATATAATCAATATCCCTGCCGGCAATGAGCTTTTCTGCCTTCAAAGTCTCCAGCACGCTGTCACTTCCATTGGGCAGCAGCACATCGGCAATCAGATGATTGCGTCGCGTCTCAACGGGCTTCACAGTGACCACTTGCTCTTCCAATAGCTTAGCCAGACGAGCTTTCAGCTGCTCATCGTTGTTGATGCGTCCAAAGGGCAAATTAACCTCAACTGCATAGCAGCTTTTATTAACATAGAATTTCTCCTCCAGCTGCTTGAGCTGTTCACGCGGCAGCTGCTCCGTGTTGCCGTAGTCAATATACAGCACATCCATGCGTGCACTTCTGGCCTCCTTGGCTAGAATGCGCGCCCGGTACCAGTTACCATCGCTGCTGAGTGCGGCACAAACTTGATCCTTCTCGAACTTACGCAGTTGCTTGCCTGGAACAGATAACAATTTATATATCTGATCATATTTGTGATCTACCGCTTACCTTTCTTGGAGTAATAGGCATACATATCATCAAGCAACTTCTTCATCGCTGGCTCCACAGAGCTGGGTTGCACAAAGATGCGGTAGGATTTGGCTATGTAAACCACCAATGCCTGAAAGCTGCTGACCAAAACGGGGTAGCCGCAAATGTAAGCGCTGCGCTCCTCCTTGAAGAGCGGCATAACAGGTCGCAAGTGTATGCTAGAATATAAGGTATTAGCAGTTGTCGTATTCCAAGAAGTTCATTTTCTTACATATTATTCTCACAGACATGCTTAATATTTAAAGCATACGATTTGCCCTCATAGTGCTCTTTGAAGGGCTTGGCCAACTCCTTGTTGGACTTGACAAACTTGGCATCATCGTAGCTGCACAAGAAGTTCACATCGCTGCAGCTCTCGAGCTGGATCTTAAAGTTCGTCATGTCCCGAATCGAAGTGAATTTGCCGCGCACCTGCTGGCCAGCCAAAAGACCAACGCGCACCGCTGCAAGGGGTTAAGAAGAAAGCATATTTTCGGCTTGTTTCACTTGCAATCGAATTTCACTAATGGACTCACGCTCCGCCACCTCTGTAAGGAACTGTGCATTGATTAGGGTGTCCCGCAGCGAAGCGCCATTCACCAGCATCTTGACTATATAGGTGCCCCAGCTGTTGTTGTTGTTATGCTGCTGTAGCTGCTGCTGTGCTGGCGGCTGCTTGGATCTGAACTCGCATTCAACTTTGGCATTGGCAGGCACAAATTTCTCCATGCGATCCACTATGTACAGATGATCATAGTTCGTGACCACCCTATCAAAGCTACAGCGTTGCGCCAGGCAGGGCACCTCCGCAAAACGCTGCTCCAGCTGCCACACATCCTCAGAGGTCACAGTCAGCAGTTTACCCGCATCCACGCAAAAGATGCGATATTTGCGCAGCATGTGGTTGCAGGCAACCACCGTGCCGCGAAGTATGGCATTATCTTTGCGCTGGCGCACCACCACACTGGAGCCGACCTTCAGCTGCAGCGGCTGATGCGGCTTCTGGCGATAGAACTGGCGCAGTTCTCTCAGCACACTCTCGTATTTGGCAGCTATGGACTTTGGCACAACGTAGAACTGGAATGGCGAGACCCACCAGGACAGACTGGCTGCCTCCTTGGAGGGTGTTTTGATGTCGTGCAGCGCAAACGCTTTGTCCAGCGGCACATATTTCTCCGGCTCGGGCAGAGGTTTTGGCGACGCCGCTTCAGCATTGGAGGTGGCATCGCTTTCCACGCCGCTGGAACGCTTCGAACTGGACGCTGTGCCATCGAGTGTGGATTTCTGACGTTGCGGCTTCTGTGCAAAACCTTGCGGCGCATTCAGCGAGCGTTGATTTGGTGAATTGCGCTGAGACTGCTGCATTTGTTGCGCGTCCTTACGCGGCGATTGAGTGTTGCTAAGGCGTCTGCCAAAAAGGAAACTAAATTAAAACTAGTCCAAGACATGTCGCGTTATTGAAACTCACGAATTTTTGTTAGTCTCCATTTTGCCATTTTGCAGACGCGGCGAATCCGTGCGATTGCGTCCATTCTGGCGATTGCCCTTGCGCGGGGAGCTCATGCCGCTTGTGTAGCTGCTGGTGCTGCGGCTCTCGAAGCTCGTGTCGGGGCGAATATCACGACTGCGTCGCATCAAATTGCCGTCAGGGCCATTGCGTTCTACGCGTGCCTGTTGCAGCTGCCGCTTAGCGCCGCTCTGCTGGGATTGAGTATCCTTGGAGCTGGTCGAGGCAGAGCTGTGCTTGTCCCACTCATTGGCATTGGTATTAGCATGAGCATTAGCATTGACATTGTTTGTTTTCTTCTGCTTCTGCAACTGCATGCGATCCTCGCTCTCTACGGTCGTCGAGTTGAGCACTTGACCCTTCTCCAGCTGCTGCGGCAGCGCATCGGAGGCTATTGACTCGGCGCGTGTAACGTTCGCATTAAACTGTCCCTTCTCCAGCGACAGATACTGCTCAAAGGGCATGGACAGCTTGTAGAGCTTTTTCATCACATTCAGATTTTTGGCCATCAGATTGACCACGTTGAGGCCGTCGGGTTCGATGCGAAAGACGCGCACGCTAAACGTGCGACGTCTGATATTCGATTCCTCGGCGAGCATTTCGAATTGATCCGTAATCTTGTCCTGACTCAGTTCGCTGTTCTCGAAGCCCTTCAGACAGCACTTGATGGCCTGACGCGGCATCAACAGATGCTTCTCGGCAATATTGCCTATTAAATGCCGTTTCACGTGCTGCTCATAGCCAAAGTCCACGTGACGCACAATAATTGTGGTGTCGTCCACGCGCAGCAGCTCCGCGCGATACCATTCACGATCGCATTTGACCACGCAGGGCGCGCCCAGCACAAGCTGTTCGGGCACCAGTTGATTGATATTGTAATAGGCGAACATCTCGTCCATCAACTGCTCGAATTGCTCTATGTTGTTGACCTTTTGCACGTAGAAATTGCTCGGCGAGTCAATGTAACGTATCTCGACGGCATCATCGTTCTGCAGCTGCTCCGCCTTAGCGTAGGCCTGGCGCGAATTCTTCAGCTTCTTGAGCACCTCCAACATGCTGTTATTCTGAAAAAATGTTTATACATTAAAAGCAGCACCCAAAACTTTGTTGAAAGATACCTACATTATGCATCAGGTGGCAGGTTTGGATGGATCCCACGCTCTCCGCCGCCTGCACAGTTAGTTGAAAATTTATATACAAAGCAGAGTTCTTGAAAATACGCTTCATGCTCTCATCGAGTGCACCCAGCTCTTTGGCGCCGGCTAGTGCAAAACGAAAGGCAAACGGTTTGATCAGCAACAGCTCCTCAGGTATCTGATAGAGATCTGCCAGCGTTACCAGCTCCGAATTGCCATAGTCCACATAGACAACACGGAATCTCTGGCCGTAAACGGCGCTGACTAAGGCACGATAGAAATTGCCATCCTCGGAAAAGCGCGCCACGCATGCAGTGCCCACGCCCGGAAACTGGGTGAGCGTCTGCAGACGTATGCGTTCGATTCGGCTCATCATTGCATTCAGATCCCCGTTGGCGCTCTTCAGCTGCACCCAAAACAAATGCGGGCCATTTTCCACAAAGCTCACATATACATCGTAGGTCAAGCCCACGGTCAGGCTGGTGGTGCGAAAGGCCGGAACGATGGGCTGTAGCTGTTGTTGCTGCTTTTGCGCAGCCGCCGCCGCCACAGCCGGTGGTTGACCCAGTGCATAACGTGGTATGGGCACAAAATTCAAAGCTGGCTGCTGCAATAACGGCTGTGGCTGCATGGGATTATTGAGGCGCACATTATAATACATATTCAGTGGCCTGGGACTAGTTTTGGGCGCGAAGACATTGTGCGCGGGCAACAGCCCCGACGATGATTTGGAAGTTTGATTATTGGCACTATGTTGATTGTATGGATGACTGACCGCTGCATATGCGGCCTTCTGAGCATTAACAGGGTGCGTTGGTGCTACCTGGACGATGTTCGGCAAAACATTTGTCTGCAAATGCAATAATGAAATATTATTTAAATGAGCTTTTCAATTAGAATCAAGCTCTTACTAAATTAGCTAATGGTGTGGGTAGCGAAATTTTAGCTGGCGGCTGCACCTGCACCAGTTGCTGCTGCTGCTGCTTGGGTTGTGTATAGTCGTTGGTGGTTTTCAGAGGGCGGGGTGATGTTGTGGCCAGTGTGCGGTGCACGTCCAGGCGAGCGGCTAGCGAGTAGCGTGCCGCAATCTGTTCGCGAGCTACGTCTGTGGGCGTCTTCGGTGAGCCGCCCGTGCTCTGGATATTGTTGTTATTGTACTCAATGACGGGCGAGGGTGGTGCTGCCTTCCACAACTTCTTGCAGTGATCCATGATCAATTCATTGGCAATGGGCGCGCCAATTTGCTTCTGTTGCACCAGGAATTCGTTAAGCTCAAAATCCTTCCAGCGCACGCTGGCAAATTTTTGGCCACAGATTTGTGTGCTATCCACCTTGATGCTGACCACATGATTTACCATCAGCTGCTTCACTGTATCCAGCTCGGACTGATCCCATTCCGAGCAAATGCCGAGCACAATGTACTGCGAGCAGAGCACTGGAATATTCTGCAGCAGCTGCGGCTGTTTCGAGAAGAGCAGCTGGCGGTGTGGCAAAGAAATACATATGATATCAGTGAATATGATAGCTATGGAATTTCTATTTCCATTAAATACTCACATCGCGACTGCTCACATTTCGCTTGTAGCCATAATCAAGAAACTCAATCTCGACGCGCATCTGGCTGCGATTGTTCAGGTGTTTGTCATCGAGCCCAGCGCTGAGCACACGCGTCCGCATATACTCCACATCCCCGGGCGCGGCGCCATTTGTCCGCTTGAAGACACAAAAGGTTCCGGGTGTGAGGAGCGCCTGTTGGCGCTCATTTGACCAGCTTGGGTCTATGGCAAAGCAAGTGGGCAGCAGCGTCTCGATGCGCGTGCTGACCAGAAAGGCGGCATCCCGATTAGCCTGCCCGTATAGTTTTAAATAGGGTCCCACATGATCCAGGTGCGTTATGTACAAATCAACGCTGGCTCCGCCACTATTTAATGGCGTCTTGCCGTTCATTCTGGAACTGTTTTATTGCTGCAAAAATATATCAAAAATCATTAAATATGCAGAGCACAATCTTTTTCTTTTCGCCACTGTCACATACAAATTTTTGCAAATCTTAATTTCGATTTCACTGCAAGCGGAACGCACACACACATACGTAATATATATATGTGTTTATATATATACTGAAGATAACCGTTAATACTCATCACAGAATTGTCTATATTTATTTTGGCATGTATTGGCAACTCTATGCCGAAATGCATGAGAAATAACTGTAAACATGGCCTGTTTCCTGCGCATTTATATGCTAAGTGTTTGCACAGGTGTATGTGTGTGTGTGTGCGTTTCGTTTCATTTCTGCCACACACACACATAATTAACGTTCTACTTTTGTCTCTTTAAACGACAGTAATTAACAAAATTCCAAACTACTTACGTTGTCGTCGTCGTTGTCCAAAGCGAAACTCGGAAAAACACGGCCCGTGCCTCTGCAGCGCCCCCTGTGTGCATCAATTTTCACTACAGTCGCCAAGCGGCCAGCCAATTGGTTTATTTGTTGCTCTGATCCGCTTTGCTCTTCTGTATTTATACAAATTCTTATTTGTTTTTATGCTGATTGCGGCCGTGTGGCTTAAAGGCGGGCTGGCTTTGGCACACTTTTTTTTCTTCTTCTGAGTGATATGTGTCGTATGTGTGGCGAGCGTTTTTCCGCTGTGGCTGTCAGCAATGTGTGATGTTACTTCGTGGTTTTGTGGTAGAAAGTCTTTCGAGTGTGATTAGAAATCGTTGAGTTTCAGTCTTTTTAGTTGTTTGTAGTCCTCCAAAAATTGCTTGCGTCGCAAGCGCAACCCAATTTGAATGTGTTGCAGTAGTCGTAGTTATATCATAAAGCAATTAATCAATGCGAAATAGAATTAATTCGAAAATTTCTAGCCCACCCAGTAACACAGCCCGAGACAACGACGACACGACTGTCGATAGGTTGCAGAATCGATTAGCTGACAAATCGCGAACAGTGTGGCCGTGTTTGGGTAAGGCGAAAAATCAGATACTGAGGAGCATATCTGTTAACTTAACAGAATCCTAACATTGCAGTAACAGCTCAATACCATTACAGTAAACTAATTATTATTTTTAACGGATTTTAAAACCCAATATTATATTATGTTTAATATAGCATTTATTAAGTAATAAAACGAATGTGAGCATTATTTTGTGGTATGTATGTACGAATAGCCAAGCCATTTTTAATTTCATTAAGTTTGATTACAGTTTACAGTTTAAAAACTAAGATGATTGCATTTAAATATTTCGTTTACATATTGTGTATATATATTTTGCTAAGAATCTCTTTTAAATATTTCATTTCAATAAGAATTACGTACATATATATATTTACATATATGCATACACAATAATATATCGTTTTACTTTCAGATCCATTAATAAGGCGCATTCCAAACGGTGTTCTCTAGGCATATATATATATATATATACGATTGAATATATATCCGAACTCAATCTCGAACCTAATGTGTAATTAAAAAAGAATATGATATTTGACATACAATACATTACAAGACTCGATTGGATGCGAATTAAACAAAAGCAGCTTGCAATTGCCCTAATCGAGTTATAAATAAAGCATGTATTGCAATTGCAATCGCATCGAATTTAATTACAGCCAAAAACAATTAACTCAACAATTAAATTTGCAAAAATGTAAGCAGAGAAGCAACGATTATAAGTAGAAGGTATAGATAAGTATACATATATATATATATGCAGGTAGTTAAAGTACAAGCACACACACACATGAATCAAGAATCGGGAACCGGGAATCGGGTGGTATAGTACGAAATTACGAAAATAACACATGCACCGATTGATGACTGATTGACAGTATGTGATGTAGAGATGTATTAGGGAGTTCTCCGACAAGAAAACGGTTTTCACTACTTGCGTAACAACTAAGAACTTAATTAAGCTTTAATATCTAACCAAAACCCAGCAGCCCGTGGCATCATCGCGTCTATAATAACGGGGTCGATTATCCCTGAAAACGGTGACAGCGGGAAACTGGTTCTCCTGTATAAATCGAATGGTGGCACGCATCTGCAATGGAAAGCCCCCGCAGGCAATTAGCAAATTAGCAAGCATGCCACAAGGTGTCTTGTGTTAAACGCACCTGTGGCGCAAAGTGCGGCGGCTCCACGTCGGGACTGGAGGACAAATGCTGCAGCAGAAACTCATCTGTTTGCGACAGCCACAAGTCGGCGCCACGCAATGGATCATAATTGAAGGGTCCGATGCGCAGCATGCCCAGCGTCGAGTCATAAACGTCCAGCACCTGCACACACACACACACACAAAATGAAAATAGATTAAAGCTAGCCAGCCAGACTGGAGGCAGTTGCTCTTGGCGTACGCACCGTCTGTGAGCCCATAAAAATGCGCGCGTCGCGCAGCTGTCGATCGGGTCCTCGGTCCGGAAAGGAGGCCGGAAAAATCTCGCCAGTCTTGATGTTAACGCCCACACCATAGATGATGGGGCAATTGATCTCGCCGCGCAGCATTGTGTTCAACTCGCCCACGCAAGCCTGCGTCAAATCGATTTCGAGGTGATGCTTGTGGAATGATTCTGTAAGGGATTGAAGCTGGTGAGTAAGAACTTGGAGCTGGCCAAAAGGGAAAAGCCTATGACTTACGCATAATGCTATAGAAGACATCCTCGCCATAGCCTTGCGAGTCCCGATAGCCACCAATCAGCTGCAACTCAATGCGTCCTTCCGGATAGCCCAGTGCCAGCTCCTGGACACGCGACACCATTGTGCAAACGGCTTCATCCACGCCGCTGCCATCGAAATGCGCCAATGCCACAGCACCAGAGCCTGCCGTGAGTAACTTGTGTTTAGTTTCAAAGAAGGCAAACGAAGCCAATTTACGACTCACCTGAATGCCGCACAACAACAATAATACAGGTGGTGGCATCGTCGGCCCCAATGATGTTGATGTTCTTGTCGTGCGGTGCGGCAGCGGCCAGCTCCCGCTGTCCCACATAGAGCAGACCCACTGGGCCAACAGACTTGGCCTGTATGGAGTGCAGCTGTTGTGCATAGTCTCTATAGACAGGGTGCTGTAGGAACAGGCTGTTTGTATCCATCGGGCAGTCATCCTGCAGCACACCGTTCAGCACAAGCACCATCCTGGTCGTTTCGTCTTGTCTAGTTAACGCCTCCACCAAGCAGAGATTCAATTTCAATTACGCCGAGTTGTTGCCCCTTAAGACGAGTAGCACCAGCAACCAGCTGAAAACGAGACGAGAGAAGTTTCCATTATTTGACTTGGACCACAATCTTTTCTTGCCAGACAACAAGAAGCATAAAAATCAATTTACGATGCAAGTCCGCCACGAAGATGGCAGCCCAAAGATTTGCATGCTTGATAATCATTTTCGAAGGCAACAAACAAACGTACAAGAACCAATGTTATCTTCATGCTGACGAAGTTTAAATACCCTAACGAAAAAGCAGTTTCTTTACATATTTATCTAGAACTAACCGATTGTTCCCATTGGAAAAAAATGCTGAGTTTGCTTAGATATCTGGAAAAACAAACTAGTTTTTTACTTTTGACCGATTGTTCCTATGGCAGCTATATGATATAGTTATATGTGGATCGATCCAATTGACTTTGACAAATATTTACTGCAGCATGTGCGTTACATACTGTCTGGCCAAGTGATAAAGCTCTCTGCAAAGGGTATACAATAAATGTGAAATATATGGGTATGCAAACCGAGGGCGTTCCCATTGCCCGTTTCGCCATTCGGTTGGAGCTGCCAACTCGTTCTTTTTTCAGTTACTGTTTCAGTTGCACCACCCGCTACCCCCTTCTCACTCCTCAAGACCAACTGGGCGAGAGGCTCGTAAATTTGGCGGCCCTTTCGCAGAAGGCTAAATAAAAATGTCATACCTGCAGCTGCAGGCGAAATTATACCATATATCGTACTCGTTTATTCAGTTCTTATACACAAATACTTTATGCTCGAAATTGGTTCCCCAGTGGGGGGCCCGGTCCGGGCCGCCCCCGGGCAACTGGCGCATTCGGTTGCTGTAAATCTAATAAAAACAATTTTTAAGGCCATTTTCGGGTCAACAATTAGTTGAGTCGTATATGGATGGCATGGCGCGCAGCACTGGGCGTCAATTGATGCCACACCAAAAGTCACAAATGTCACACGAAAGTTAATAACAATTAAGTGGCAACTGCAGCCGCAAATACCACCAGCCAGGCCACAAACAACAAATTAACGACACAGCCAACGACCGGTTGCCGATAATTTAATAAAAATCTCATTTACAACCACTTCACAAGCAGACGTCGCTTGAGTAAATGGATCTTAGAAGCACAATAGACAATAATGGATCCGAGCGGCTATCGAAAAATATAAAAGGATTTGCGGTATAGCATGGTTTGTATTTTTGTAGGCTTCAAATATCGACAGATATTAACAAATTTCATTTATAGCTCCAATTAACAGAGAGTAAAATAAAAAACTTGGCACGTGTATTCTGGTTAAGTAATCAAGTTCGAAAAGACTTTTCTAAAGATCAATGAGAACATCACCCACAAAAGAGGGGAGTTAGACCATAAGCCTACTTCTTCTTTCTTGAGTCAGCAACAAAAAATAAAACATTGGTTATATTTTATATTCATTCATCATCCTTATTCTATATTGAAATTGGCATCATCCTTTGCTGGCAATGCCTAGATCACAAAAATCAGTTGCACGCTTTAAGGTGTATGTCAAAGTTAACATTAATTTAAGCATGTTAACATTTACAAACATGTTATCAAATTCGTTTTGATAGCTGTATCTAGCTGGCAACATTTGCCAGCCACTTTAACTACAGTTTAACATGCGATAATCAACACTGGTTGCTGCACAAGCTGCACCTGAAGCACCCTGTGCCGCACAATTCCCAAGCGCATTGACGATTCATGTCAAGTAGCTGGCAATTGACTTAAGTCGTCAGCTCACAGTCGAGCATTGTGTGTAATTGAGTTACATATTTACCTACAGCCGCTGTCTAGTTTCAATTAAGCAAAAATAAAGATGAGTTAAAGTTCAAGTACAAGTACGTACACACACACACTCATGTGAGTGTGCAATAACAACAACAGCAAGTCGTAAACTTTAAAAACAAGCAAAGGCGTCTGATTCATTTGAGTTGTATTTTAAGCAATTGTAAAAGCTTATTCCTGGCCAGGAAAAGCTGCCTGCAGAACGAACAATAACTGGTTCAAGAGCCGCAAGAGATATAGCTAGAAATTGGCCCACAATAACAACACTATTAAATGCAGCAAGAAAAACAATGCCAAAAAAAAAACATAGAAAAAAGGAAAATAAATAAGAAAAAACTTCAAGTGAGGCAACCGAAAGGCAGCGTCTGACTTTTTGGGGGCATGTTGCCGATGCTGTTGCACGTTCCAGCCGGGCTTGCCGTGGTGCCACAGTGCTTGTTGCATTATGCATTGTTGTTGCCGTTGTTGCTGTTGTTGTTGCCTGGAAGCAATTTAGCCGCGATCATGCATGAATCTTGATTAGATATTCAACGAGAAATAATTTGAAAATGATGACAGTTCGCGATAGGCGCTCGCGTAGACAATCCAAGCCAAAAGGACCGGCTGGGCTGTATAGAAGAACCTCAGCTGCCCGGCCCGCCCCTAGACATACATATGTATTTGCATCTAGCTAGAGCAACCTTTTATAATACCCCAGATCCAGTAGTTGCAGCAACAAATGCCATATTCCCAGTTCCAAGTTCCGATCCCCATGGCAATTGCCTAACTGTGCTGCCTTTTTGGCTGATAAGCCATCAAAACTTAAAGCCAAAATCAGCCGAGCTGTTGGCCAAACAGTTGCCGCTGGGCGGGCGGTCTGGCAGTCAATTCGTGCCACAAGCTTTCAACTGGCGAGATTCCATTCATTTGATACGGCTATGTGGGCAAAGTCAACCAAATGAGAGATGAGCCAAATGGTGACTTGACATCACCGCAAAAGCCCAAGGCATTATGCAGAGAGAGTCACAGAAAAACCACAATAACTACAAGAATCTCTAAACAAAACCTGCGATTCGAAGGCTGAAGAGACACCGTCCTCTAAAATCCTAAGTATGAAGGCCAGACGATTAAGTCCAAGAGATATTAAATATAAAAAGTCGAGAATTAAACAGAATAGAAACTTTCATGGTATCACAACTGTTAACTAAAACCATGCGTTATCATTTAGTCAGGAACTCCGTTCGGGCTTTAATATAAATCTTAAAGTAAAAAGCAGATTGAACTATTTACAAGTCAGACAGGCATGTGTCTGAGCTATATATTTGAATTTTGAGCTAATTGAATGCCACATATCAAATAATGTCCGCCGCTTCCTGTTCAATTAGATAATTTTTTTAAGTATAGGCTAGACGTCTCTGAAATTACAACGTTTCCTCGGCCTGCCCAGCTCAATCACAGTTTTGCGACTCGAGCACGTCGCCTGTCAACGCTTCGGCTCGCTGTCTAAGCAAAATAAATCATCTGAAAGCTGGAACCACACAGCGTCCAACGACATAGACAATGGCCCACTTGAAGTTCTGAGAAGCGACCAGGCAGCGAGATACGAGTATCTAAGCCGAAATTCAACTGAAGTTGAATGCAGCAATGATCGATGGCAGGCTATGGGCAATGGGCGACGTGCTGCAGTTTCAGCTGCAGCAGCAACAACAACAACAACAACAATAATAACAACAACAACAAAATGCAATGATCATAACCATCAGAAACGTTTCAATTCATTACGCGTGCGACGAGTCTATTACGAGGCTGAGACCTGGGACCTGGTCTGATTGACTGGTTTGGAGCAGTCGGTCCGTGCCGTTCGAGATTGGCCCGTTCGACTTTATAACAATCACAAATTATGGGTTTGCGAGCCGCGCAGCGCTGAGAAAATGATCTTGTAGATTTAACACTGATAGCAACAGTGGAGCACAATCGTAAGAGGCAAGACTATGTGATACCCTGCACCCAGCTACACAATATGCATTCCATGTTTAGTTATACAAAACGATTAAAAGATTCAGTGCTGCTCAACGTTTCATTTTTGAAATTAGTGAAAAGTCAAGAAAGATATGCAAATGGTAAAGTATTCCCAATTTGTCGAAACACAACTAGGGCCTACATACAAAATTTGGTGTCTTGAGCTGGTGTATATGTTCTACGATATGCTCAACAGTCACACGATAATCGATATTTATCGATTACGAAAAAACACCCTGGAAGTACCGAGACTTTATAGTCTCTAAATTTTAATTTTTTACAAAATTTAGAACATACATAAAGTTTATAATTTTTTACATGCACCTCCACAACAGCTTATTCAAACATAGAGCGAACATCTATATTTATCGATTTCGAGAAAACTAAGTAGTTATTGGGGAAAAATACAAAGGTCTCTAGACTTGGCAGCTGATGCTGATAAAGAACTTATAGTTTATCGTTTATTTCATAAATTTGCACAACAGCAATATACCCTACTTAATTTGTACACATTGGGTATAGGGTATCATAAACTATGGCACTGCGCCGCCAGACTATGGACCAATCGGAACAGGTTCCATTTAGTTAGCATCGGCATTCTTGGCCGCCACTTGGCCACATGATTGATTGCCCCTTTGACGACTCTGCCTGCTGTAACCTGCCACAACTGCCAACTGCCAACTGCCAACTGGCAACTTGCAACTGGCCGCAGTCGAGGAGCTGGCCGAGTGGTTCATCTTTGCTCGTTGTTTGTGCTAAAGTAATTTACACCAGAGTCGGACATACAACGCGGCTGCCGTTGGCCAAGCGTCATGTTGTACACCTAACTGCCCCCCTCTCTCTCTCTCTCTCTCTCATATGGTTGTCTCTGCTCTGCTCTGTCCGTTGTCCATTGTCCAGGGTAACATGCGCGCTGCACATTTCAAATTCTTTATGGACCCTTACACGACAATTGTCAACAAGCGCGAACAAATTTCATGTGCTCGCTCCGAGCGACCGGTTCTCTGCTTTTGGGTCTACCTCCGCCAGCTCCTCCCCCAAACCACTGCTTCTTTTGCTGATCTTCAGCGGAAATTTCGCCATGCGGTGTCGGTGGGCGGTTGTTTGGTCGAAAATGAAGAAATTGAAGACAACAACAACAACAATTGCCGCGCACATGTGATACACTGACGCGGAGAAATAGAGGGGGATAACAGATGGAAGAACGAGGGCTGCCACATAA